ATTGCTGAAGGGCAGGTTTTCCTATAGGTTGTGATATTTAGACAGTCCTGGCCTTAAGGCCTAGCTCCTTCATGAAAACAGCAGAGAGTGAATGTGGTAAACAGAGATCGCTTTGCACACTGTTTTGCAGCAAGAGAGAGCAGAGCAACAAAATTTCCTCCTAGACTAGGACAGCTGCCCTTTCCTTGGTCTACAGTTTAATTGCTGAAGGGCAGGTTTTCCTATAGGTTGTGATATTTAGACAGTCCTGGCCTTAAGGCCTAGCTCCTTCATGAAAACAGCAGAGAGTGAATGTGGTAAACAGAGATCGCTTTGCACACTGTTTTGCAGCAAGAGAGAGCAGAGCAACAAAATTTCCTCCTAGACTAGGACAGCTGCCCTTTCCTTGGTCTACAGTTTAGCTGCCCTTTCAGAGCACTGACCTTTCTTCAGCAAATGGCTTAGCAGGAGGTGCTGTTAGATCATAAGGGACGGGTAGTTATAGCTCTTCTCTTATGCTGCAGTTAGACACTTGGTCTTCTACAATTTTGTGCATCCCTCCATTGGGCTTTATGAAGGGCACAGTTCATAATATTTCCTAATTTCAAACAGACACCCCACACCAATAAATACCAAGTTATGCTGCCAGTAGACATGGGGAAGCAGGAGGAAATCAAAACATAGCTTTAAGAGCTCCACTTTCCTCTGCTCCCGCAGAGATTTGTTTAGCGTCTCTAGCACATTGTAGGTTAGCTCATTCACTGCAAGAGGTCACTGGCCAAAAATATAGTCCTATGATAAAGTTTTTCTTATGCACCACCTGCTTGCTCCAGGAGGAGCCATATCCTATTAAACTATCCTGAGTGTCAAAACTTTCCTGCTGCAGTAGAGAAGCTAATCCCCTCCCCCAAAAAACAGATCGCCCCTTCCCAAACAAAACAGAAACCACAACACAAAGGAAAAAGCAGTGTTTGATTCCCCCCTTTCTATAGTGTAACTAGGGCAAAAGGATTTAGTCAAGGACCATGAGTCGCTTTCTGCCAATCGTGGAAGGCTGTGGGAGCTGATTTTTTTTACTAGGGCAGCCTAAACTAAGGAGATGGTCATGAGAACAGTCCAGGTTGGTCCTATCAGTGTAACTCCTAATGTTTGTTTCTGCGTCCACCCACTACCCCCATAACCATACATAGTGAGCCACTGCACCTGAGCTCAGCACTGACCTTGCAGGGGAATAACTATCGCCTTAAAATAAACTCTACTCTTCCACTCTGTAAACAGCCCTGCACGTGCATATCAGTGTTAAAAGCAACAACTCCTTTCCCTGGTAACCAGAACAATCACCGCATCTCTCTCCTGGGGCTCTCGTCACGCGAGGATGTCGTAATAAATGGCCGGCTTCCTGGTTGTGTCACGGAAGTGCTCCAGCTTCAGGCCAACCCGGAAAAGAATTGCCTCGTCCCACCACTTCGCCATGACCTGTGAGTGGAAGACACAGCAGTCACCATCTCCGATGGGGCATTAGGCACGGCTCTGTAAGCTCCCGGGGTGGCTTCTCCAGCAGCAATAGCACAGACATGAGGAATGGTCTTGTAACCTTCTCAGCAATGGAACAAGATCCTGCTGAGGCCTCTCTAATACGCAGCTGGAGGGCAACTGAGGGTCACAGGTCCCATTGCTGAAAGGCCACAATTGCCAGGGTCATTCAGGAAGAACAATTGGGGTACTGATCTACTGAGAGGAGAGCTTTCTGGGGCAACAGGCTGGAGCAGACAGGGACAGCTGCCCTCTCCTGCAGGATGACTGGCTTCCTAAGCAGCCGGATGGTTCCTAGAGGAAAGTAGGCTTGTTGCTGCCAAGGGCAGGGCTGGCTTTAGGTCAGAGGCAGGCAAGATACAGCCTGCAGGTCAGATCTTCAAGCCAGCCCACAGCCTGCCCTGCCCACCCTCAGGCATGGAGCAGCCCTAGACTGCTCAAAGTGACTGGCTGCTCTATGTGTCTCTCTCTGCATTGCTTGCAGGGGGAGGGGGGAGAGGCTTTGTGCACTGTCCCTGCCCCCTGCACAATCTCTCAGCTCTTATTGGCTGGTTTGGGCCTGCAGCAGGCAGGGAGCCTTCATGAGGGTCCTGTTGGGCTGCTGGTTGTGAGCCACCTAAGTAAACACCTCCTGGCCAGAGCCTGCCTCTGGCAGCCCACCCCAACTCCCTACCCTAGGTCATCACCAAAACCGTCTTCACCCCAGGTCACAACTCCCTCCCAGACCTTGAACCCCCCTCTTACATCCTCCCCCAGAGCAGAATCCTCTCCTGCACCCCAATCCTCTGCCCCAGTCACAATCCCTTCCTTCAGCCAAACTCCCTCAGACCCCAGACCCTCTCCCGCACCACAGTCAATTACCCCCAACTCCCTTCTGCACCTAACCTCCGTCCCAGATCCCACCCCTCTCCATACACAAGCACGGCCCTTGACCACTTACAAAATCTTGGCCTGAACCCCCCCTCCCCGCCCCATCAGAAAGGGATTGCCCACCCTGGCCTGAGGTGTTGCAGAAGCCTACTGGAGGTAAGAATTACAGGGCCCCTCCCAGCTCCCACCCAAGCACCATCCCTTCCTCTCCCTTAGTTTCTGTGCACCAGTGATGCCATCCTAGCTGCCCCTTGGGCTCCCTCGGATGCAGGAACCCTACATCCCCTTGTATATGAGGCTCTAAAGCCCCTGGGGGCCTTTTACATGGATAGCTCAGGAGATGAATTGGCAAAGCAGGGGAGGGCAGGTCCGGAACTCAGCCTGGGTCAGAGGGGACCGTGGCTGGGGCACAAGAGGCAGGCTTCTGGTGGGCAGGTATGTGCTTTCGGTGTGAGGCCCCCTGAAGAGCAAGATGCTGTGGCTGGAAAATAGGGTCAGGTAGGAACTCATCCTTGCAGCTAGTCCTGCCTGGGCATTGCCAACCCTATACTAGGAGCGGGCCTGCCCTCTCTGGGCTCTGCCTGCCCATCCCCAGAACGGAAGCAGCACGAGGCAGCACCTTCCAATCCCGGCAGGGAGACACTGGTGTGGGGTGCAGAGAGGCTGGGCAGGATGAGGTGTAGCTGGGCAAGGAGCGAAGGAACAGCGGGGGATGGATGCGATGTAGAGGGAGGAAGTGTTCACTGCTGCAGCAGTGGGGGTGTGACGTAGTTGGGGGTAACTTGCTAACTCACTGGCTGCTGTCTGTAGCACCACCGAGCAAGACAAGCGAGGAGTCAACCTGTCTGACCAGCTAACCTCCATGGAGAGGAACAAAGGAAGGTGAATGCTGCCCTGGCTGGGGGGCAGGGCTGGAGGAGAGGGAGTTAGTTTCTGTCTGGGAGGATGGAGGAAGCAGCCTCAGCAACAGGCTGGGGGGTTTAGAAGCCGAGACCCCTGTCCCATATCAAGGGGGGCTGAGGCATCCTAGGCCTGCCCCGGGACCTGATGACATCTGTGCTGTATCTTGGAGAAGCAATAAACCACCTCTATTCTACTGGCTGGTGGAGTCTGTTCGTGCCATTTCGGGGGTGCAGGAGGCGGGGGACCCCAACGCGTCGTCACAGGGGGTGAGACGGCAGTTCTGGCAGAGAATCCCAGCTGGCGCTGCTGCCTCACTGAGGCTAGAAGGCGCTGAGTGCCAGCTAGCGCACGCTGTCTGCAGCCCACAGCACGTCCTCCCCCACTGCCTCTCAAAGGCTCTCCACTCGACTCCAAATCCTAGTGGCCTTGCCTGAAGGGGACCCAGTGTTTTCCACTGGCCCCTGGGCTCAGTCTCCCAGATACGTAGCTCTGCATGAAGTCTGTTGCAAAGGAAGAACAGAAGCTCAGACTTTCTGGGACCGAACTCCACCCACTTTGTGAGATGGCTGCGGGGGGAGTCAGCGCTAGACACCCTTCTTGTGGCAGAGCAGTGCGGCCTGGGCAGATCTCATAGTAGCATTAGTGGCGGTTTACCTGAAAGTTGATAGGAAGCCCACTGGCAGCGTATCCAACTGGCACCACCAGACCCGGGATGCCTGTGAAGTTTCCAAGCTGCATGTATCTGCAAGAGAGCGGGGAGACGTCACCAGCCCTCTCGTTGTTGGGACTGTGGCGAATTCACTGCTATTTGGAGAGGCAGAAAGTGGAGCAGCTGCAATCCCGCCCGGTCTAGAGCTAGTGCTTCTGTACCATTGCCAGTAAGCGTATCCAACTGGCACCACCAGACCCGGGATGCCTGTGAAGTTTCCAAGCTGCATGTATCTGCAAGAGAGCGGGGAGACGTCACCAGCCCTCTCGTTGTTGGGACTGTGGCGAATTCACTGCTATTTGGAGAGGCAGAAAGTGGAGCAGCTGCAATCCCGCCCGGTCTAGAGCTAGTGCTTCTGTACCATTGCCAGTAGCCACTGTAAGTGGGCGAGGCGGACTGGAGAACTGATGAGCTTCCCCAGCTTTTGCCATAAACACGTTTTACTGGCCAGCCCAACCACCCGGTTCTCACCTCATGGTCCGGAGTAATGTGGGGACATCATTGTTCCCAGTCAAGAGGTCGGAGCTGTGGATTCTTGGGGCAGTGCAAGCAGTGGCTGCATGAGAGAAAGAGGCAATGAGCAATCACCATCTCCTGCAGGGACTATCCAGCCCCCTTTAAGGCACACATTTTCTCCAACACATCCCTGGAATCAGGCCAACTCAGCTTTGCAGAACCCACCCAACTGAGTTAACAGGAGTGTGACAATGCAAGGGAAGCACAGAGGAGCAATTTCCAAGTCCCTGAGAGCTGGGGCAGAGCAGTTAGGACGTTCGCCTCACTGCTGTGTAACTCTGCAATGTAGCATGGATTAAACATTAACCCTGGAAGCCAAATGTGCCGTGTTTATGCCAAGCGTCTCCTTCCAGGCCACAGTAAAGCCTACGGTCAGCCCACAGTGCAGGTACCTGGGGTGAGGATACAGTTCACGTTGGCAAAGATATCTCGCAAAAAGCTCATGCTCCGAGTCCTCTGCCGATTTGCCTGCAAAGAGGAGATGGCATCACGTACTACGAAGGCATCCACTGGCAGAATGTACGTAGTGCCTAGCCCCCTGTGACAGAGGGTCAGAGCGTCCTTTCTTGATAAAAGAGCCAGCACCGCCATAGACTCACTGATCAGACCCAACGTAAGAGCATGAGGCCAAATGACTCCTCATCTGGGCTCCTCCTAGCTGGTTCTGATGCAGAGGGCAGCACTGCTGGATGGCTCTCTCCCCAGGGGCAAAGGGTGGGCTGTCTCCTCTCGACAACCTTCCACCAGGCTGTGAGAAACCATCTTCTTTGCCTGCCTCCTCCCCCTCCTTCCACACCACACTCCTCACCTTGATGTAATCCAGAGCTGTGAACTGGGAAGCCAAAGCAAGGTTGAGCCGAGTCTCCAGATTCTGAAACACAAACTTCAGGATCTATACCTCAGAAATCTAGGTCTGCTGATTCCCAGCCCTGTGCCCTGTTTTCTAGCCCATGCTTCCTATGGTGCCCCAATAATAAATTAATAATAAATAATAATAATTAATAAAAATAATGTAACAGACACATTCTCCCCTGGGTTTATTTTAGGAACAAGACCTTGTCCCCCTGTGTATATGGGCAAAGGGTAAGAAAAGAGCCTGGTCAAACTCTCACCAGAGCCTGTCACCTGAGTCAGAGCCACCTCCCCATGGAGCACAGAACAAGATGTGATGGCAGTTTGGTTGGTAGGTTGCCTGCCACGCATCACAAGAAGTCGGAGACAGTCCCAGATCCCACACACCAGGAACCCACCCACTCATGTGTAGCCATGACTGACAGATGGATCGAGGAAAAGAGCCTGGTCAAACTCTCACCAGAGCCTGTCACCTGAGTCAGAGCCACCTCCCCATGGAGCACAGAACAAGATGTGATGGCAGTTTGGTTGGTAGGTTGCCTGCCACGCATCACAAGAAGTCGGAGACAGTCCCAGATCCCACACACCAGGAACCCACCCACTCATGTGTAGCCATGACTGACAGATGGATCGAGACAAGCAAAGCTGATGCAAACAATCCATGTATTTGCCTCTTACCATTTGGTGGAAATGGGTGTTGAAGTCAGGCTGCAGGAAATCCCTCATTTCAGAGAGAATGCAGATCACATGCGCCACCCGCACCTCCTCCATCTCTGGCAGGGACACGTCAACTACAGAGGCACCTAAAGTCTGCAGGTACTCGACAGCTGAGCACAAAGCAAGAGGAGCAAAAGGAGCATGCTATTTCTTGGGTTCAGAAGGCTACAAGACAGCTGAGATTTAATCCCGCAAGGCAAAGGTTCCCACAACCACATTACAACAGGCTCTTTGCTCTTACAGTCACACAGTGCATGGGCAGCAAGACACCAGCCTGCATCTGGTTACAAAAAAACTGCAGAGCTTTTGTCCACTGAACAGCTATCGACATGACAGAGTGAGTCCAGGAGCGAGGACATGCGCGTCAGCTCTCGATTCTGCCATCGGCTCACTACATTGCAGCTAAGTCACTTCCAGCCCAGCTACCCAGTCTGTGAAAAGAGCATAATGATGCTTCCCTGACTTTGCAAAGTGCTTGCTGCTAGGTCTTCTGGGACAAAATCCTAGAAAATGAGAACTGGAAGGGACCTCAAGAGGTGATCAAGTCCAGTTCCCTGCCCTCACAGAAGGACCAAGCACTGTCTAGCCCGTCCCTGAGTCTCCACTTGCCCCCTACTTCGAAGTAGGGAGGCAAATGAACCATACCGAAGTTGCAAATCAAGCCCGGGATTTAAATATCCCGCGCTTGATTTGCATGTTCCCGGCTGGGCGCCATTTTTTTTTTTAAATTTACAAGCCTGGAGTAACTGCCGGTGTCTACACGCGGCAGGGAAACAGATGTTCAAAATAAAGCCCTATTTCGAACTACCTGTTGTTTCTCCTGCAATGAGGTTTAACAGGTAGTTCGAAATAGGGCTTTATTTTGAACATCTGTTTCCCTGCCGCGTGTAGACACCGGCAGTTACTCCAGGCTTGTAAATTTAAAAAAAAAAATGGCGCCCAGCCGGGAACATGCAAATCAAGCGCGGGATAACATGCAAATCAAGTGCGAGATAGTTAAATCCCGGGCTTGATTTGCAATTTCGAATGCCTACATTTGCAGCCCTAGTTCAAATTAGGTTGCAAGTGTAGACATACCCTAATAGCTGTCTATCCAACCTGATCTTAAATATCTCCAGTGATGGAGATTCCACAACTTCCCTAGCCATTTTAATCCAATGTTTAATCATCCTGGCAGTTAGGAAGTTTTTCCTAATGTCCAGCCTAAACCTCCCTTGCTGCAATTTAAACCCATTGCTTCTTGCCCGGTCATCAGAGGTAAAGGAGAACAATTTTTCTCCCTCCAACTTGTAACATCCTTTTAGGTACATGAAAATGACTATCATGTCCCCTCTCAGTCTTCTCTTTTCTAAACTAAACAAGCCCAATTCTTTCAGTTTTCCTTAATAGGTCATGTTTTCTAGACCTTTAATCATTTTTGTTGCTCTTTTCTGGACCTTCTCCACATCTTTCCTGAAATACACACAATTCTGGTGTGAATGCTGGTTTTGAGGCAGATGGGGGCCCTGAGGTCTGTAAGGTGGAATCTGAATTAAAAATTCACAGGGAGACAATCACAATAGGAGCTAGGACTGGGTGGGATAAATGCACAACCAAAAAACTCTGGAGGAGATAGGTCAGCAGCTAGAATCTGAGGTTTGGGTGATACGTATCACACAGACCACTGATGTCTCTCATCCAACTACTGACAAGGTACATCCCTGCTTCATTTATGAACTCTGATAAACCCGCTTCCTGCGAGACAGTATCCCTGCACCACATCTGTAGTCAAAAGAGCCACATGCTGTGGTTTGATGGAAGGAGGATTCATGCCCACATCTCCTACCCAACTGAGCACTAATGCTACGACAAGACAAACCCAGAAAGGCTTTCAGGAGACAAGTTTGTACAATTATATTGTAAAGATGATGGTGCACAGGCTGGGTTATATCCACAGCAAAGGAACAACAAGCCTGGAACATCGTGCTCAATGGGGGCAGGAGAGGAGATAGCACTCCTATGTGAACAAAATGAGCCCAACCCTGCTTAGCTTTACGACTCCAATAAGATCAGGGTGATTTGGGGCACATGGCCACTGCAGTCACGTAGCCAGGCAGCAGGAGCCAGGTTAGCATTCCAGAACTCACGCGTGAGCTCGCTGAACAAAGGGCAACTCTTAGAGAGGAGACAAGAGAACGTGACAGAGTCTGAATTACAGACAGCTGCCCCCACGGGACTCAACACTTTTCGCCTCCAAACTAACAAGGCTGCAGGCTGCCACAGGCCAGAGCCCCCGGGGCCTTTCTAGCCTTTACCATAGCTTTTTATGGGAAAAAGCTGCTGGGGGAGCAGCTACCAGAAATGATGAAACTTGTGCTGTACCTTTCTGGCAGACTGCCAAAACTTCTGCATCACAAGCCTGAAAAAAAAGACCGAAAAATACATTAACTAGCGGCTGTTATCACTTGTCATGCCCTCTTCCCCCCGGCTGAGCTCAACCCCAGCCTTTCCACTATCCTGAGCACCAAATTAAGGCCACATGTGCCTCTCCTCCTCGCAACACAGGCATGGGCAGTAGGTCCAACACATCCCACACTAAACCTATTTTAAGGGCCCCAGCTCCAAGATCACATAGCCCTGCACTTGCTAGACTGGACAAGTGGGAGGAAAATAGAGCTATGAGACAGCTAATACAGCACGTGAACCCTCCCTTGCATACAGCCCCACCGTGTCTGGCTTGGGTGGAAGGAGTGTGACCCCAGTACAGTCTTGAGGAGACAGTGGGTGCAGGGCAGAGCTGGCTGGAAAGTGGAATTTCCATCCTGTGAAAAACTGGTTTTCGTCTTCAAGTGGGATGAAAAGCTGAAATACTGACTTTTTTGGCAGAATCAAGCTGTCATAACCATGAAGACTGGCCAGCAGCCTGGGGACTAAGGGATTAACTATGTCTCTGTACCTAGCCAGGTACCAGTTAGTCAATAGAAATGCAGATAGGGATTTCAAACCGAGACACAGGAATTTTTGGCTTTTCCCTCCTTTGTTTCTGGGCCAGTTTTGCTCTCTAGATACCAAGGGAGACAAAAGACATGTCTCTCTCCAAGAAAAAGACTTTTCATCATGTGTAAGTAGGGTAAAGTCTAGATAAATCCGTCAGGTTTTATTGTTTTCTGGTTTGGGAATTTGGATCTGATGTCTGTGCTGTTAGAAACGGTTGTTCCTCTCTTTTGCAATGAAGTCCTGAGCCCATGGGAATCCTCCATAAGTATATTAACTGGTGGCTCTTACCATCTAGCCATTTCAACTATGCTTGTAACTGGGTATTGTTTTAATAATGAAAGTTCTTTCTTTTTTTTTTTTTAATTAACCTGGTGTTGGTTCAATTCTGTGTCCTGGAAAATCTGTCTGTGGGATCTGCATGCCTCTGACGAGGGGACAATCAGACTGCAACTTGTATTTTCTCTTTTCTTTTCAAGCTCTTTGGAAAAAAAGGAGCTTTGGGTGCCCTGGGGTTGGTTTCAAGTGTCCACCCCTGTTGTGGGTTCAAAAGCACTTTATGGTGGCAGCGGATTCCCCAAAATCCTGGGGGGGGAGGGGAGGGGGAATTTTTTTGTACCAAAGCCTGTAGAGATCAGGTTTTGAGGTTGCTTTTGCAGGCCCCCATTTCTGCTTTCATCATGCCAGAGTGGGGATTAGCCTTGACAGAAGCGTTCTCACAAATGTCAATTCAAGCGGGTCAATGCAAACTGAAATACTTCCTTTTCTAATGCGGGTGTTTCCATTTCTGCCGTGCTATTTTAAACTAAATGGTTTGACGTCAGGAAACAGTTGCAGTTCAAAATGCTTCTTCAGCAAAGTCAAAAACTCTAGCTTAATCCATGTTTTCTTATGGAAAATGCCCATTTCAACAAGAGCATTTTCTCTTGAAAAAGATTTGTGTTGTGAAGTTTCTGACCTAGTCGGAAGCAAGTCCGAGCGCTATGGGCAGCAAGAAGAAAGACCTCTGCGATCAAACCTCAGCTGGCAGGCTAGGGGAGGGGAAGGTTGAGCTGAAGGAATTCTGACAGCTGATTCAATGCACCAGACACACAACAGGCACCTTAAAAAACATCCAGTCCACTCCCAGTTTTAAGCCTTTGAGGTCAGGAGTGAGGATTTCCGACAGGGATGCTTTTGGCTGCTGTAGTCCTGCAAAGGACAAAAGAAAAGATCCCCTGTTGGGCAGAAGCTAACCACAGCAAGGTATCACACAGGTCATTAGCAAAGGATAACCCAGTGGGGACAGGAAGGGTGAGGGGAGATAATGGAGAGAACAAAGCTCACTCACCATAGGGGTATAGTGGATCTGGCTCAGCCAGGATGCTATAGGCAATGGCTGCATCTGTCACGGATGCACAAATGGGGCCTGTCCAGAATAAACAAAAATGGTTACAAACAGGACAAGGGGTGAACAGGGCACATCCACTCCCACGCAGGGGCTCACAACAGCTGTGGGTCCACACACACATACAAGCCCAGGGAAGTCAGAGTAGTGGAGCCAGGGATCGCTTACCCAGGCTGACGGTGGAGTAGGAGAGCGGAAGGCAGCCGTGAGCACTGATGCGCCCAAATGTACCTTCAAGACACAGACACACAGGTCAGAGAGAGACACATAAAGGAACAGTATTAACTGGAGACAGATTAGTGCTGGGCACAACTTGGTCTTTCTAAAGTGCCTTGTTTGAGATCTGGGTTTTGGTTCAGGCCCATCTTTGGTATTTAGCCTCATCCCCTTGCTGGTTAATAGTCTCGCTCCAGGCACACAAAAAGAGGAGGACTGAGACCACACTAGTGTCACAGAGATAGTGGCTCTAGACGGGGTTTCTTCCTCACGTCAGTCACACCCAGAACACTTCACAGAGGAGATTCCAGAGGATGCAAGGGGTGAGAGAAAACTAAGAGCATCTTTGGCTTAGGACCCGGTTCAGCTAGATGCTAGCACTGATGACAGCACAGACATTCAAGAGCTGGAGGAGACTGACTGAAATTCCATGGCAGGGCTGCTTTCTTAAGTCCGTCCTCCAGTGCAATTTTACGTTAGGGAAGCACTTTAGGGGAGGCACCAGGACACACGTGCTCAGGAAGAAGAAGAGATTGCAAGTCTAGCATTTTGGAAACCAAGCTCTGGAGCCTTGGGGAGCTTTTACAGAGCAGAAGTGACTGCGCCCACACCTTTCCACCGGGAACCAAAACCCTGCTCCTGCAAACATGCACATGCTGAACTCTGAGCGCATACGCAGTCCAGCTGAGTGCAACAAGACAACTCACATAGTGCTTCACTTTAAGGGTATACATCGGGGGCAGTAGCACTGAGGCCTGTTAACACTGCCTTCCTACTTAGCAGTATTACCTGCCCACTTCTGAGGTCTGCCATAACATGCTATCCACTCCCACGCCCCAAGAAAGGAGTACAAATTCACTGGGGTTTAACTAATCCAGCAGTAACTGGGACCCAAACCTGAGATACAGGGCTGAGGTGACCACCTTATTCAAAACTACAGAATTCGGAGGTTGGGGAAGGTTTAGTTACAAGCTGTAACTCAATCCTGGGGATTTGCAGTTCTCAGGACAGAAGCAGATGGATTGACAAATGGGTGATTCCTCCCAACCTCTCTTTGCCCCTTAGTCTTCTCTTGCCTAAAAGAATACAGGAAGAAGGGGGCAAATGTAACACTTGCTGGAGGGAGACAACTTTCCTCGTGTGCATTCCAAACCCCTAGCAGGGTGAGGTTCTGCAGTGCCACATCGGAGATGCCTCTGGACCCCGATGCCAAGGCTAGTGGGGCTCATGTGTGGCATCCTTCACCTCCACCACCTGCACCCCCCAATAAGTCCCTACTCTCCAGTTTGGGAAGACATTTACTTATCCTGCTCCTTCAGCCAGGGATGTTGCTGGGATGGGGTTAGAAGTCAAGAGTGGCTGGTGTACAGAATACCCCAATTGACGTACCAGCTAAGCAGTGAACATCTCCATGTTGGGTGGCAAATGATTTCCATTCTAGTTAACAATCAGCGAGACATGCTGACACACACACACTCTTAATAGCTCACAACCTCGCATTTGAAGTCACAAGTCAAAGACAACAGATCTCAGTTCTTCTCGCAGGTTTACAGACACTTGCGGAACCGGCTTGACCCCCTCCCCCTCTTCCTCCCCCCCCCACTGCTGCACAGGGCTAAAGAACAGCGTAATTCTCAGGAGGGTATTGGAATGGGGGGGGGGGAGGAGGCACTATCCCCAAGGAAATGCAGGCCCCCCCAGCCAGGTAAAGGAGGCAATACCTTTCAGTCCCACAACACCACAGAAGGAAGCAGGAATCCTCACAGAGCCTCCTCCGTCGGAACCAATAGCCAGTGGGCAAAGACCTAAGGAGAAATTTATATTTGTGTGGGACCATGAAGACCGTACAGCCCTTTCTATACTACTTTCCCAGCATTTCTAACAGGAAAGAGAGGGCATATGGTACAAAGTTCCCATCTCTACCAATGGCGATGCTCACTGACTTCCAAATTCCTTCAGAGAGACCCAACCACTTTTACACCAGAAAAAGCACTGCCTGGAAAGCCTATTTCCTCTCGCTGGCTTAATTGCGATCCCAGTCCCTTCCCTTGGATCCTGCCATCTTCTGTTTTCTGCCCTGCTCCCAAAACATCTGTCGCAGGCCTCTCTCTCCACCCCCACAGCACTGCCACCCCCCAGAAACTTTCCCACAGTCCCGGCAACTCCTGAAGTGGCCTCTGCCCTGGCTAGGTTTAGCACAGCTCACCTGCTGCCACGGAAGCAGCCGCTCCACTGGAGCTGCCGCCAGTGAAGTGCTGGGGGTTGTATGGGTTCCTAGTGGTGCCATGGAGTCTGAAGGAGATACAATGAGAGTGCAGTTACTTTCAAAAAGGCCAGACTCACCTTAGGGCAGACGAGGAACCAAAGTCACCTCTCATAAGTAGCCCACAAGCAACAGCACTTCTCTAGGCACCCTGCTGTCTTGATTGACACACTCCCACCTCTCGGGTACTAAAATCTGCCCACGGCTCAGGTGGTCTCTTTCCCAACATGCAAGTTACAGGTGAGAATGTTCAACAGCGAGTTGCAGGACGGATGGGTTTTTAAATTTAACTGGCTGTTAAAAAGAAAAGGGAACGGGGAGAAGAGGAGACTTGTTTACCGGTTGGGGTTACAGCCAGTGGTGCCAATTCCTAGCTCATGCATGTTTGAAACCCCGATAATGATCGCTCCCGCCTCCCGCAGCTTCCTGGTTACTGTAGCATCTTCAGTCTCTGGCTCTGTCCCTAGGTACACTGTTCCCACTCGGTGGTGGTAAGGCACCTGAGGAAGGAACCAAATAGTGCATTAGGTGTACTGAACACATACCACCCAGGGACGTCTTCTCCACAACAGGCAGGACAGGATTCTCTGCAGAATCAGTGCACATCTGACCCAGAGGCACAAGGCATTACGGTGAAATCAGAGCCAGGCAAGTACAATGGGGCTATATCTACACTCGCGGCTCCTTGCGCAAGTACAACCGTTCTTGTGCAAGAATCTGCAGAGAGTCCACACTGCCCGCCCACTCTTGCACAAGGAAATTTACAGTATGGTGTGGTAAGAGAGGGCTCCTTGTGCAAGAGTTACGCTCTTTTTTAATCAGGTGTAAGCCCTCTTGTGCAGGAGCTCTTGCACAAGAGGGCAGTGTGGACGCTCGGCTGGGATTTCTTGTGCAAGAAAGCCCTATGGCTAAAATGGCCACCACACAAGAGAGCGTCCACACTGCCATGGGCGTTCTTGCACAAAAGCACAGCTCGCACATGGCAGTGTGGATATTTTCTTGGGCAAGACTTCTTGCACAAGAACCCTTACGCAAGATATTCTTGCGCAAGAAGCTGCCAGTGTAGACAGCCTGGCTGTTTTCAGCCTCACAGCTCAGGAAGGGTTCTACCTACTTCATTCTGGTTCTCTCTGGAGGCTGCTTGGAATCAGAGAACCTAAAATCAAAGGCTTAATATTTCCCAAACTGCTCCATACAGATGATATATAATCAGGCTGGGGAGAGAGCTATATAGTCAGTCACATAACAGTGAGCCATCTTTGCACAGGGCTTGGAGATCTTTGGCTGGAAAACGCTATCAAAATATCCATGATAATTCCAACCTGCTGGCCAGATAGGAAACCATGTCTCTTTTGTGCAGCTCCACTTTCCTCATTCATATACTAGAAGGGGCTGCAGGTTTCAAACCTGGATGCCTGAAGTCAGGCACCTAAATTGGTATTTAAGGACCCAAATAACTGGCCTCATTTCTGGATGATGAGAATGAAACTGAATAGAACAGAACGCAACACCTGTAACTCCCACCAATATGGCTACAGTACAATGACATGTATAGAAGCACCATCTAATTGCTGACATAGCTATCAGGAGTAACTAACGGTAACTATTGCTAGGACACAGGCAAAAAACTGGGTGAGATTTACAAAAGCAATCACTGTTGTCCTAACTGAAACTCAGGGCTTCAACCCACAAGAAATGTCAGTATTTATATTTTGCAAATTTGCTTTCATTGTTATTCAGAAAAAAACACAAGATTCACTAGGTTATTTTTTGGGTTTTTTTGGGTTTTTTTTTTTCAAACCCAAAGACCTCTAAACATTTTCTAAATTTCCACTCCAACATCAGGGAACCATGGTGTTCCCAAAACGGACGTGAACTTGACATTTCCATCAGTTTCACCACTGCTACAGAATGCCCATTTCTCTCATCCGCTGTCTGAGCTGCAGCTATGAAGTGGAGAGCCTCCAAGTTTCCAGACGCATGGCTCCCACTGGGGCCAGTAGATTTCCTGTCAGTACTGTGGACTTTGGTACCCTGGCAGGTTTTCAATGGAAACATACTTGTGTTCTGGGAAAACATTTTGCTTCAGCTAACTGGCATTTTTCAACAAACTCTAATTCTAACTCCAGTCTCCCGACATCAATGGTAAGAATCCAATTGCCAGAGTTTGGCCAACACTGAGAACTTCTGGAAATCTCATTGTCCAACTCCAGGACTAAGTTTACTGAATTTCTGTATTGTCAGAATCAGAAACATTTCTTTTCCCTCTCCAACACTTTCCCACCTTGCAGGTTTCATGGGTTACATGCTGTTAGAAGTTACAAAAAGCCTATTCTGTATCTGTTATTTGTAAACTCATGTTCCAGGGTTGGTCTTAATATTTTAGTCTAGCTACTGCAACTGCAAAATCTACTCTTATTCATATAAATACGGAACCTACACCTTTTTTTCTTTCCAAAAATCTTACTGAGATACTTGCCTTAACAAGCACCTACAGCAGTGAGTTACACAGGCCAATCACTTTTTTTTTTAAACGTAACACGTTTCCTTTCATGCATTTTAATGTGCACTGCTTTTAAGTGCCTTTGCATGTCCCTCAGCTGGAGGATGAATGAAAAGTGCTTATAACCTCACACACCATGAACTGGCCATGCAACATGCCACCCACAAAGGGAACTCACAACTTTAATCTCTTCTTTCAAGCAGACTGGGATTCCATCCAGGAGAGAAAGGGGGCTTTTATTCTTGTAACGAGTAGTGGAGGCTTCAGCCATCTGGAGAGAAAGATTTTACCTTAGTTGGCCAATGGGATATATCTGAGAAAGCATGCATAATCAATAATGCAAACTAAACTAAACACAACACAAGGAGATCTCGGCACAATGGGCCCAGAGCCCTTCCACTGTGGGTGAGAGCAGAGAAGCTGCTGCTGATGATCAATTATTTTGAGGTCTTGGGATAAAAGGAACCACAAGGTGGGAAGAACAGTTTGGATACCACAGAGAAACACATTCTGGTTTAGGCAACATTTAGGAGGGTCTGCAACTGCTGTAGTATTAGTGTCCCTCTGGAGTAAATGAAATCAAGTCATTGATGGCCCTCTAAGAGGGAGGGAGTGTGAAAAACAGAGAAGGGTGAAATATGCAGCACACTTCGTTTCAGCTATCATAATCCAGGATCTGAGAACATCTATGCAGCAGATCAGAGCCAGAGCCTGATAGAGTCCCTCAGATCTTCTTCTGCAGGGAAAGTGTGCCTATTCAGCTGACCAATGGCTGCTACGGATGAAGGAGCCTACTCTCACCAAAAGCAGACATACCCTCTGTATCTGTGCCCGGTCCCACTGCACAATTGCTCGGAGAGGCGGGCTAGATTTCTCACAGTCCTCCAGTGAAGCGATAATATTCTTAGCAACCTGCATGGGGGTCAACTCCCCAGTCCTATAAAATAGAAGAGAGTTTAGTGATTGGGACCCTGTTACAATTCCCGCCAGAGACGTTGAATTTCTGTTTTCCTGAGGGGTGTTCAACCCCTGTTCTACCTCTTCCCACTAGCCTCAACTTCCCCCTCTGCCTGCTTCATCTCCAGTGATCCCTGCATGCCATTGAACAACTGACCACAGTGAGCAGGAAGTGCTGAGAGGAAGCTGGATGCTGTATTTTTCCCCCATGCGAGCTCCAGTCCCAGAATCAGCGTCCATGATTCTCACTGTCCCTCCCCATGGGACTGTGTCTGTTTTTCACACTGTTCTGGAGGAAACCATCCTTGGGCATGAAGGTGGCATGCCATCACCCTTTGTGCTGAGAACGAGACAGGAATCAATCGGAAGTTGATTAGTGACACTCCCTAGCAGCTAGTACTACTGTGCCACATGAAATGCTTCTTTCCCAATTGGCTCTCATCTCCATAGCACTCCTGGACCCAGAGAGTCAGATAGGGGCTGGACACTCAATCTGAAGCCTGGGAACACCAAGATCAACAAGAGGGTTATAAATGGCAGAGCTCCAGGCAGAACTCTTACTTTTTTATATCCTCAGTGGGAGGACACATGACAATTGCTTATAACCTCACGCAGCGTGAAATGGCCCATGCAACACCCCAACACCTTTGGCAAAGGATCCAAGGCTGTGGAACTCCCTTTGGCCAGAGAGCAGGCTGAGCTCAGAGCACAACACGGAGCATCTTTGCAGGCAGATTTGTTAGGCCTGCTGAGAAGAGCTTTAAACGCTATGCAGGAACAAAAACCATTAGGCCTATGGAGTGTTCCAGCAACTTCTGGTCTGCTTGCAGGCACTAGGTAAAATGGTGTCAAACAGGGAGAGCAAGCAGCAGGGAGACCTGGTGGAGATTCTTTAGCATCCCCAAAGGCTCTGCACTGTGGTAACCTTCCATCTTTCCACCCAACTGGAAGCAGCTGGGGAACACGTGACAAGGTATTTTTCCCTACTTTCCTGGGAAGACTGCAGATAAACTAGAGTGCTAGGGACTCAGCCAGAGGTCCCCTACCTAGCAGCACTATGCAACAGTCTGGAAATACTGGAAAAGGGCAAAAACTATCAAGGAAGAGGATTAATTCAAAAGACGAGAGTAAAGAACTAGAAGTAACGGGATGAAATTAGGAGGACATATCTTTAGGACAAATATGGGGAGAGAATTTCCCAACAGATCTATTAGGTATACAGGGAACCATAGTAAGCCACAGTGGATAAAAGGGTGCCCTAATACTATAGGGTTTCCAAAAATCCTTTAATCTCACCTACCGATAGCAGTTCAGATAGTCCTGGATCCCTTTGAAACTGAACCCACTATTGGCAGGATTAGGCCTGCAAAGGGAGAAATAAAAAAGTGATGATCAGCAGCCAAAGAACCTCCCTCGACTCTCATAATGCCAATAAAAGTAAGACAAGGTATGACTGGGAAAGTTATACCTAGTACTTCAGATTCCAGTGTAGCAACCACAATCCCTTTCCCATCCAGAAAACATTCATTGCCAAAATCCCACTGAAAGTCAGCTAACTTCTTTGGGCTCCTTTGGAAATACCAGCGGATGTCTTTAACCGTAAAGAAATCCCTCTCTATATAAGGATATAATATTCAAAAGTGCCTATGTGACTTAGGAGTTTGAGTCATGGAATTAAGGCTTTTACATTATTTAGGTTCATTTGAATATTTTCCCCCTAAGTCTTTTTAAATACAAAACCTAAATACCCCAATAAACAGACTCATGTTAAAAAAACCCAGCAACTGAAATCCAGTTTAGAAGAAGGTTTAAGGAATATCTTGCCACAGAAAAGTTACTATAATTATTAGTTGTGTTTGCAAGGCCCATTAGAGACTATACAAAAACTATATTCTTTCCCCCAAAAGCTCACACTCAAAACACATCACAAAGAATACTTCAACATGCTATAAGCTTAAAAGAAATCTATAACTTTCTGTAGTTTCTGGTGTGTAATATATTCCAATATATAGACAGACATTTACAAATCAGTTAAAACATTAAATGGTAAGATGGACAAATCTGCATGTTCTAAGTAAAAGATAAAGCTTTCCTAAGTATGTGGGTAATTAATTCCTTGTCTTTAACCAAGATAGCTAGTAAATTTGAATTACACGCTCTATAAAAATGTCTCAACACCTTTTAAAAACATGTTTCACTGGTCATTGTCAAGCTTGATACTTGGTGGGGGAAAGAGGACAGCAGCCCAGGAGAGAGCGTAGGATCGACTGTGGGCAGCTAGCATGTTTTTAAAGTTGCTATAGCTGGTCTAAAAACATGTACATACCTAGCATAAACAGCACTTAATTCAAATGCATCTTAGTTCAAAACAGTCTCTCTCCCACCCAGTCTAGTTAATAAAGAAAAGGGAGCTTTTAATATTAGAACTTGCTAAAATAGCATAAGAAGATTATTAAGTAAGGACACAAACTGAAAGGAAGAGAAAGGAAAAGATGTTGCACATTAGAGTTCAGAAAGCAACCAAGGAGAAAAATTCCTTATAATTTGGGCCACTCTTAAGACATACAGAAAGTCACTTTGTTTCGGGAGACCTAATTTTGGCCAGCCTATAGACAATGACAAAATGGTGCAATACTGCAGTAATACACAAACCCCCTGCTTACAGACCCTGCTGACCTTGTCTCCATCAACTGCTTGAGAATTTCCGAGGTGCTTTTAGTCTCAGGCTTTTCCTTTCTTCCTTCAGCAGCAACCTCTGGAATAAATGTGGGGTCTTCATGGATATCAAGGTAGTGCAGGAGAGTGAAATTATTCATCCTGCAAGAGAGAAGGAGGGTCAGGCCCCACCCTAACTTTTTAAATTCAAAACTATTTTGGTAAAAGGAAAAACACACTTCTGGGGAGTTCTCCTTTTGAACAACTTGCTTCTCCCAGCACAGTTTTGCAGAACTACTAGAAAACAATTCTCTCTGTGTCACCATGTTCCTCTGCAGAGGTGGAGCAGGAGGTTATCAGGTTGTTCACTAATTGTTCATTCCAAGGCCAGAAGGGATCGCTGCAATCAAGTCTGACTTCCTATATAACACAGGCCACAGAACTTCCCTCCCAGATAATTCCTAGAGCAGATCTTTTACATATCCTCTACAAAGCATAGCACAGCAGCATGGACTGATGCCCACACAATGTTCTTGTAATTGGGAAGGAGGTCCCAGGAAAAAACCAAGGTAATTTAGAAACGACTACCCTCAGGGCTCAGAGCATGCTTCTGCACTTTTAGTGGAACACAATGTGATGGCAAGACAGGGCTTCAACATTCATGCCTCTCTGCAGGTAGAAACATCAATAACGTCATTGAAAGAGACATCTCCTTCAACTAGCCTTACAAAGTTCTACTCAACGGAGAAGAGTTAACTTTTTCCTTTCTAAGTTGAGTAAAATATTCCTCCTTCCAATAAGCAATGTACTGAGACTGAGGTAGATTTTATGACCAGGCAGGTAAACGTTCAGGACCATTTGGCAAGGTCAGATTAAAACAGAATAACTGGAGAGTTAAAGGAGCACAGTGGTCCCACAGTTCCAGGTTGTACCCCAGGGATCGGTCATAGCTCCTCATTGCTCTCCTGCCCCTGCTACATAGGAATGAAAAAAAATTGGATCAGTATACTTGGAGAAAGATGAGATGGCTCTGTAGTAAAAACATACAACATGGCAGAGAGGCAATCCAAAAGAAGTTTCCAAGCACAAAACCGGCTGTGAAAAGAAAGGGTTAAACCTTCCCTGACAGAAAATCTGACTGTCATCAAATTAGAAAAATTAAAGAAAAAGGCAGCAAACACAAGGACTTCTGCGCAATAGTTCTGCCCACTTTGTTCAGGGCCCTGGGAAAAAACTTTAGCTTAGAATGAAGATATGGAATGTACTCTTACCTCAATAAAAGTGGCATTACACAAAACTGCCCAAACGCCTAGAAAAAAAGAGAAGACAGGATGAAAAATAGCCTGTCTCTCTCATGACCAGAGCTCTGTGCTATAACAAAATTATAATACAAGTCCAAGATATGAGAACTCTATTCATGCAATCCTTAAAGGGAAACCACCTAAGTGTTTCAGGCCATTGATTTGAACCATGTTTATAGAGTCCTGAAAATTCTTGATACATGTTCTTTCCATTCTCTAGCCAAAATACATCAATACCCTTCCCTCATAGAGACAATCCCAAAAGCCCCCCCTCCCCACACACACACACACACACGAACAAAAAATGTTACATCAACCACAAGAAATCTGCAGGCTCCATCCACAATCCTTGTAGCTTTCTGCAAAATACATAAACTCTGAATAAAAGACACAAGTTTCTAGCTTACTGAATCCATTGCAAGAAGATTTCATAATGCCATTAATACTCTGTTGCCATGATACACCAGTGAACCTGCTTCCCCTCCTAAAGTGAATCATCTCAGTAAAGCATTAGAATTTAAACATTCTGCTCTAGAAATCAAAGCATTTGAACACTATGCTTTTGTTTATGTGGCAATATGAATGATTCCAGAGATTCTGTTCTGACTGAACAGTGCAAGATCATGCTTCAAAAATTAATTACTGACAGAATTCAGGATAGGGAAAAGTGTCCTGAACTTTTTGGTGGGTATATCTTACCCCATACTTAAAGACACAGATCAATAGACTATATTATTAATTTTTATTTATAATTGATCCTTCCTTTTGAGATCACATTTGTAAAACATGTTGAGAACAAAGATTAAAAAACCCTTAATACAGCTCTGTGAGGTTTGGAAATATTTTCATTCCCATTTTACATATGGAGAAACTGACGCAAAAAAGAGGCAACGGGACTAGTCCAAGAGCACACACCAAGTCAGTGGCAAATCTGGGAACAGAATTCTGGCTCCCAATCCTGAGTTAGCTATAAAAAGACCGCTCCATTAACACAAATGGACAAATTCCCTGTGGCTAGCTTTCTCCCCTTTCAGTTGTCATGCTCAGGAACAAGCCACACAATTAAATGGGGGAGAAGAGAGAGATGTAATTTATGTAGCCCTGGCAATAGCTCTTTATACATAACCTTAAGAAAACTGCTATACTAATATGTTGTAAAGTCAAAACATTTAAAAAAAAAAAAACTATCTTGGAGCTGACACAACTACAAATACGTCTTCTGTTTGATTATGTACCAAGATCACCTCAAACTGGGAGTCAGTTACATATTCCTATCAGCATTCTGCTGTGTACAAATCACATGGCGGTGCCAGGATCAGAGGCGGAGACCTCAGGGGCAGATAGGGAGGCAGAAATAAATTAATGGACCAAGAAGAGCTTGAAAATTCTTAGGAAACTGGTGAGGCAACATTTCACTGTTTGGATGGTGGATTCTCAGCTTCATTTGCTGACAAAGTCATAAGCAGCTAGAATGGCATGATTCTTTTCCATGTGGAAAGGGTTTTTATACTTATTGTCAGTTGCAGATGTTCCCAGTGAGTTCAGAATGTATTGTAAACATAGATTTCTCAGTCATGGGGCCTTAAAGAGGCATCTCCACAATGAGGTTTGTTTAAATTGGCCCACCCTTATACTAGATGATCTACTGGTGTTTTAAATAACCATGTCCTCTAAACCTGCTCAGAATTTGGAAATGTCCATTCTAAAGGGGTGAAGTTGGTTTTATCCCAAAATGTTTACTGAAAAACCTTAGGTAACTGGGCAGGTGAACTTCCTGATGCAAATTGGTCCCATTCACGGTCTTGTTTACCTACCAGCACATGCGCCAGGAAAACTTGATCAGAGTACTTCCTAGACAGGCAACTGGTCATGTTGTTATAAAGAGCCTAGGTCTGTGCAATCTTTCAAACAATCACAGTGCATAAGTTGTAGAAACAGACAAATTCCAATCACTTTGCTCATGTTAATAGCCCCACTACCTTCAACATGACTATTTGTGTGAGAGAAGCTAGCTGGATTTGGTCCTACTCAACAGAGATCCCTGTTTTCCTCTTTCAAGAGGCAATGATGAGAGGTGAAGGAAAAATACAGGCAGTCCCCGGGTTACGTACAAGATAGGGACTGTAGGTTTGTTCTTAAGTTGAATCTGTATGTAAGTCGGAACTGGCGTCCAGATTCAGCCGCTGCTGAAACTGACCACCAGTTCTGACTTACATACAGATTCAACTTAAGAACCCCAAGTCAGCTGCTGCTGAAACTGATCAGTGGCTGATTCCAGGAAGCCTGGGGCAGAGCAACTCTGCCATTATCTCACAACAACCAATTTTAAACACTGTTTATGCTAACCCATGACAGTCAATATCATAGTTTCTAATGGGAAAAAATACCCATCCATGTTTCCTGCAGAGCTAGAAAACTTCCAGTACAACTATGTGTAAAAGACAGTTGTTGCTAGTTTGATTTCAGCTACAATGAAAATAGTACAGCACAGTTTTGGCCAGCAAGTTTCTGTGCCGCAACCACTCACACAGTAATCTTTAGTCCTTCTGACCAATGTACTGAGGCGGAGATGAAATAGTGAACAAAGGGTAGATAACGTACAGGTCACCAGAGCTAGAAAATTAAAATTTACAAATTATTAAACAACTTGTCCTGTGAAGTGTGTATGTACATTCTTCAGAGTGTCCACAGCACTTACAACCAAGTTTTGTAGTTGGCCAATGAGAGTATGGGCTTTCTTCCAATTCCCAGAGACTTCTTCCTTCTTTTTCAGGCTTCAGTCCCGGTGCCTGTGGTCTGCTGGGGACGGTCCAGTAGCAAAGCCTCAGAAGCGCGGGAACCCGCCCGGTGCCCCTGGTCTGCTGGAGACAGTCTCCAGCAGACCAGGGGAACCGGAGCAGCTTACGAACGGGGCTCTCTCACCCCGGAGCTCGCAGGTAGCAATTCGCTACCTCGACCTCCGGGGCAAGAAAGCCCCGTTCGTAAGTGCGGATCCGACATAAGTCGGATCCGCGTAAGTCGGGGACTGCCTGTATTACATTTTTTCAAATTGTAACACACACCTCAGTGTCTTCTCATTGACTAGCTTTGGAACTAAAATGTAGATGTTGTTTTAAAAAGAAGAGACATTCAGGAAGGAGTTTACAAAAATTTAAGAAATGGCTTTTCCACAAGGTGATATTTATTTGTTAATTTTAATTGCAATAAGATAAAAAACTTCCCCTGCAGTGCTGGAAACCCAAATATGATGACTTTTTGCTAGGCATTTCTTAGACATCTGGTGCTATATAATCAATCAACAATAAGGCATAAGATTCAGAAAGTGCAACTGTCAAATGCAGAAAGTAAGTTGTTAAATGCTTTAGGGGCATTGACCATCTTTTAATTGTGTGTACATATGAGACATAAGTCAATGAGACTAGGGCTTCTAGATGGTACAGCAATGCAAATCATAAGTCATATTTAATGATTTATCCATATCTCTGGTAACTTAGAGAAAGGATTTAAATAAGTTAGATGTATTCAAGTCAGCCAGGTCTGATGAAATAAATCCTAGAGTTTTCAAGGAACTAGCTGAAGCCATCTTGAAACTATAAGCAAATGTCTTTGAGAAGTCACAGAGGACATGTTAGGTCCCAGAAAAATGGAGAAAGTAAAACATACTATCTAACTTTAAGAAAAGAGAACACAAAAGAGAAAGGGAAGTACAGACTGGTCAAGTCTAACTTCAATAGCTGCAAAGATACTGGAACAAATTATTAAACATTTAGTTTGTAAGCATTTAGAGGAAAACCAGTTATAAGGAATAATCAGCATCAATCTGTCAAAACAAATCATGCCAAACCAAACTAATTTCCTTCTTTGGAAGGGCTATGGAATTCACATCATTGGAGGGTTTTAAGATCAGGGTGGACAAACACCCATCAAGGATGATCTAGGTTTAATTAATCCAGCCTCCATGCAGCAGGCTGCACTTGCTGTCCTCATGAGGTCCCTACCAACTCTATATTTCTTTGATTTTATTATTTAATTCCAATGATTTTCATGATGACCGCATCCCGTCCCCTTACCCCCCCTCTAGTTAGAGAAGTGTCATGAGTCATCTGAGTACAGTGCTGGAAGTTAAGAATTTCTTGATTTCTAATCCAGAGTCTATCACTAATGACTACACATTTAGGCTCAGTTACACTAGACAAATGAGGTGTATTTTTAACATATCTAAACCAAGGCCAGGGCTGCAGGACAGACTGCTTCGGATACAGCTATATTGTTAGGGGGGAGAAGGAGAGAGGAACAGTGTTCCCTGTAAGCTAGCACAGCCTCTCAGGAGAGATTCCAATGCCACCCAGTTGATTAGCAGAGTGCTCACAGCTAGATTCGTGTTTCTCCTACAGTGTACATTCACACAAGCCTCAATGCACATAAAAATATATACACATGGATGGAAAAGATTAGATTGTTGGGGGGAGGAGAGAGAAAGAAAGCCACACCCTCAAACAACACATGGATGGAAAAAATTAGATTGTTGGGGGGAGAGAGAAAGAAAGCCACACCCTCAAACAACACATGGATGGAAAAGATTAGATTGTTGGGGGGAAGGGGGGGAGAAAGCCACACCCTCAAACAACATACTTATACTGGACTAACCCCTTCTCCCAATAGATAATGCTATGTCAACCAGAGAGCTTTCCTCACCAATTTAGCTACCTCTTGGGGAGATGGATTAACTACACTCAGGGGAGAGCTCTCCCCTATCACACTGAAGAGAAAAACCCCACAGCACTGCAAACACATCAGTGCACCTGTTCCACTGAAGCATTTTAAGTGTAGACCTGTCTATCCTAAATTCATAGAACACTAGAACTGGAAGGGACTTTGAGAGGTCATTGAATCCCCTGCCCTCACAGTAGGACCAGGCACTCTCTGGAACTTGGGTTCCCAAACTGGGCGGGAGGGATGAAGAAATTCCAGGGGGGAGGGTGCTAGGTGACCCAGACACACCCCACCTGGTCAATCCCACCCCAAGTTTTGCTGCTAATTTTTGGGAGCGAGGGGGGGTCATGAGGGTTTCTCAAAAATCAAAAAGGGGGCATGATGCCAAAAAGTTTGGGAACCATTGCTGCTTGTGGTAGTTGCATCACTGCCTTGTTCCCATTAGGATTTTGAGGGAGGATCGCTTGTAAAAAGTTTAAAAAGACATCTGTTCACCCTGAGCTTTAAGGTCTCCTTGCTTGGGCTCCTCCTCTCTAGCCACTGGGGTTAATTCAGATCGGTCACACTGGAGAAGTTAAGGGCTGCCAGCAGCTATAACAGCTGTAAAGCCGCTGGCACACAGGTGCCAAAGCCCAAGGCGGGAGCTAGGCAGGTACTCACAGTGTTAGCCAGGTGGACGAAGAGGCGCAGCGGAAAGCCGGACATTCGGGGACCCCACTGGGGAGAGACAGAGAGAGAGACAAGTGCTGCGGGTGGGGGTGGCTGGATGGAGACCCCCAACCCCAGCGCCGAGATGGGAGGCGCTCGGCACAGCCCCCTGGACCCGACCCCCCTCCCATGCCAGGGAGCCGCCCGGCCCGCTGCTCACTCCGTCCCGCGGCGGCTCGTGGCCGCTGTCCCCGGCCCGGCCGGGCTCTCGGCGGTGGAAGGCGGCGGGGGGGATCCTGGTGCAGCGCCGCACGAAGCCCAGGTAGAAGAGCAGGAGCGCGGGCGCCAGCAGGAGCAGCAACGGCGCCATGATCCGGAGCAGCCCAGCCCTGTCAGCGGCTCGTGGCTCCGCGCAGCGGCGGGGGCGGGGACAGGCACCGAGAGGCGAGGCGAAGAGGTTGCGGGGGGAGGAGACACGCTGCTCGGGGGGCTTTGTAGCGCCGGGAAGTGATGACGAGCCGCGCCGCGGGCTTGGCGGGGCACCGAGAGGGCTGGAAAAGGGAGCCAGTTGCGGCGCTGGGCGGGGAGGTTGCACAGAGGAGGTGCGGGCTGCACGCGGGTGGGGATGCAGAGGGGAGTGATGCAGAGCAGGGATAAGACGGGAATGCAGCGGGGAGGAGGGGCTGCGCAGGAAAGGGCAGGCAGCAAAGTGGTTGCACAGAGGGGATGCAATAGAGTATGGCGCGGTGGTTGAGGGGCTATTGCATAGATAAGGGAAAAAATGCAGCGTGGCGATTGTTCCATAGGAGGTTAAAGGGGACGCGGGGTGGTGGCTTGTGCTGGCAGGCTGCAGGGGAAGTGAACGCATTCAGGAGGGAGGGCAAACGAGAATTGTTTGTTTTTCTCCAGTTTCTGTTCTTCTTGCATTAGGTATCCCTTAGTGCACAGTGGATTTCACCGTTTCCTCTACGTAGTCAGTTACGCCTCCTCCTTTTTAAGCTATACTTGTGTGCAAAACAGAGCCTCGGTCCTTTGATTTTCCCACCTGATTACCATTATGATGTGAAGATCAATTGATCTTAGTGGATCAATTCACTTGTATAAAAGTTAAGCAGGTGCACAGCTATTAGCATGCCCAAGCCCGATTACGTTCCTCCATTTTGTTTTCCTCATAGTGACCCGGGGAGAGAATGAACTACAACTGGGGAAAATGACAGGAAGTCCGATGATCGTTTTAAACTTTTCCCCCTTTTGACTAGGGGTTCCAGCTGATTAGTTGTGGGGTGCTCGGATGGAATGCGCGGGAGAAACGCGATGTATTATGAAAGGCGCTTAACTCTTTATTTCTAACAACTGAGAAGAAACCAATGAGAATGGGTTGAGAAGGCGGAAAATCCTGCGGCGTTGCAAATTCCCCTCCTGGACAGCAACAGCTACTTCGTGAGCTGAAGCACCGACAGCAAAAAGGCAGCCCCTTTGCATAGGGGAGCGGAGAGAGGTGTTAAACCAAACCGCACACCTCATGAGGGGAACCACTTCAAACCAGGGCACCTCTAATTCCAGCACCTGCTTTACATGCCTGCAAGCTGCTTTACAGCATCCCAGCTGGTAGGCTGGGGAAAACGCTAGCGACTCATCCAATCCACAGCTCGGAGCGCTGGCTACCCAATGAAGGGAGCCGTCTTGTGAACCCAGCCAACCCAAGGCTGCAGGGAGGATCTGGCGAAGGGCCGCGCTTCACTCAGCCAATGTCAGGACCGCTCTTGCCAGCCTTCCGGGACAGCGCTGCTAGGTCAAAGGAGGGTGCCCTGTATGTGCTGCGGCCCTGGGCTGAGCAGCGGGGAGGGGAGCCTGTAGGGTGCGCCTCACCCGGGAAAAGAGGAGGGTCTGTAGATCGCGATGTCTCACTTCTTCCAAGCCCTGTGCAATAAACCCAAAGCAAGGCCGGGCGGGCCAGGCATTCAGGAGAAGGACTTGCACCAATGGGGGCTGACAGGTTAGTGGGTGTGGCTTGAGCCACCGGAAGAAGTTACTTGTTGTAGGCTAAAGTAAATTAAGAATTTTGTGGAGTCTGAGGATCTCTGTGCCTCAGGCGTGTGGTGGAAACTGGGGTGAGACTGCAGTAGTGAGCGGTGGCTTAGAACTGGACAGTAATAATACATTAGGTGGGGCTGAGTCTGCTCTCGGCTACTTGGTTGGAAATCTAAAATAATAAACTAATACAAAGTCTCAGAGGGCTGGCTATGTTAGTCTGTAACTTTAAAAACAATTAGTAGTCCTGTGGCACCTTAGAGACTAGCAAGAATATATGGTGGAACGAGTTTTATGGGTAAAACCCACTTCATCTAATTTTGTTAGTCTCTAAGGTGCCACAGGACTACTTATTAAACTCTGTACAGTTAATGCAATTCTCCAGCACAGGGCTACTCAACTTTGGAAGCCTGGGGAGCCACAATAATACTCACAGCACATGCCGAAGACTGCAATTTAAGTGTGTGTGTGTGTGTGTACGCGAATAGCTTATTTCATACTGATGTGTAGTCTTGCCTTAATCTTGGTATTCATGCCCAACACACAGGCCCCATTTAAATCAGTTCTTATATTAATAAAATGCAATATTTACCCTATTTCCACCCATCTGGCAGTACTTTTAATGAGAAATGACAGTCCAGGAATTTAACTACTAAAATGCATTTCACAGAAGACCATTATATTGACTACTTTTTTGTTTTAGCGCCCACCCTCAGGCCATGTGTTGAGCCCCGCATAAACCCAAACTGTACTGTGGGCCACAAACAAATGGGCCGTGTGCTGAGTAGCCCCGCTCTAGCAAATCTAATCTGCTGTAATTAAGAGCAGAAGCTGGTTCTGTGAAGTTACTCTGGGATTGCACTGGTGTAAACTAGAATAGAAATTGCTTTACTCTAACCCTAAAAATGGTTCAAGATTTTTTTTAAATAAACTATTAGTCTATTCCACTTCCTCCCCCACAGAAACTGTTCAGTTCCCTCAAGTTTGGGGAAAGGTAGATGTATACAAAAAACTTTGAAATGTTACATATGTCTTTCACTGAAACACATGGCAAAATCATTTCTCTCACATGGAAGTAAAATTTAAAAACTCATTCATTTTGGCAAGGTGACTGGGTCTGAAAATAACAGCCTCATAGTTTTGTCTTCTAAAACAGTATCCCAGAAACTAACAACTATTTTCCACCATCAGTATTTCTAAAACAAAGATTGTTGTAATGTTTGGAAATGGAAGAAATGAAATAAATCTACATTTAACATTCCCATTCTCTTAGTGTTTCTAAGTCTCTCTCTCTCTCGCTATAACTAACATCTGCTATGATGATAATTTTATTTTATTCTTGGTCTCTATCAACTGCAATCAGTTAATTCTTATACTGAAGTGTTACAATTATATAGGGTACGTCTAGACTACGTGCCTCTGGCGACAGAGGCATGTAGATTAGGCTACCGGACATAGTAAAATGAAGCGGCGATTTAAATAATTGCCGCTTCATTTAAATTTACATGGCTGTCGCGCTGAGCCGACAAACAGCTGATCAGCTGTTTGTCGGCTCAGCGCGACAGCCATGTAAATTTAAATGAACCCACGATTATTTTAATCGCGGCTTCATTTCCCTTTTTCGAATACACAAATCTACGTGCCTCCATCGACGGAGCCATGTAGTTTTTTCTAGAGGGAGCCCAGCATAGATCTAAGATTTTACATTTGTTTCTATTTTCTGTTCATACTGTAGAGATGTTTCCCCAGTCCACTTGCTACCTCTCTCTGTCTCTCCCATATTATATTTCATCAACCTACTTCTTGACTTTCTGCTTAGAGCACAAGAGTTGGAATTTCTGGACTCTTTTACAATATTTCCTCTGGTCAAGTCATTTCAGTTGTTGGTGCCATTATCTATGAAATGACAATAATTCTCACCTCCCTTTTAAAGTGGGCTCAGTTCTTTGATAGCAGGTGATAGTGAAGGGTAAGTATTATATACTATACTGCAAAGTAATTCTTCAGTCTGTGTGTTTGCACACTTCATCACAGCTGGGAGCTATATTTCAGTCTGCTTTCTGAGGCTGTAGGAGAGGTTTCACGCTTTACAGCAAGGGATCGAGTCATGGGTCACGGTGTCCAAGCCAAGGTAAAGAAGAAAAGAATACAAGAGTCCTTAATTTTTGTTTTTATATTGTGACTATAAATTATTGTACCCACCATTGCCAAGTGTAGTATCATAAACAGTAAATGATGAGGACAAAACTTTTGAGTGGGAGCCTGATGTTACACTTTTAAATACATATTTAAACACCTAAATAAATGACACGGGTTGAAAATGAGGCTGCATTTTAAGGTGTCTGAATATAGATTTGATTTCCACTGAGGCTCCAAAATCCACATTTAGGCATTAAATATGTGCTTGACTTAGACACCCACTTTTGAAAATCTTGGCGGAGATGTCTCAAGCTGGGTAACAAATCTGTTGATGTTCCTGAAAATTGTGCTCTAAATGACTTTGCCTGTACTGTGTGGGCAGTTTCTGGTAGAGTTTAGAATAGAGCCCACTTCTTATCTTAAACACAAAATCATTCTTCGTTCCCACGGAAGGCAAGCAGAAAGACAATGTAATAAGACAATGTTATGTAAAAATCTGTTACGTTAATATCTTCTGTGAATACACTCACAACTACCTGTGGCACAGTTAATGACAACCAAGGGGATGCTAAAGCTATCTGGGAATGTGTGGATTTATTTATTTATTATTTTGCTTAAAAATCATATACCAACAAGTATCCATACAGAAAGCGCCAGGTCTTTTTTACAGTTAATAAAACTCACAATAATAAAGCATCGGTAGACTACCCTGTTCTTCACTTTGTTGCCAATAATTATAATAACCTAAAATACTCCACCTTAAATATTCCCTCCCCAGAATCAACATAAAAGTTCAATGTGTTCCATCCCCAAGCATCAGCAAGAAAAAATGAGCTTTGTAGCTTTGAGCTTGGAGGTAACCTGCAACCTGGCAGACCAATGGGTGTGTAAGTTCCAAAGTTGAAGACACATCGTCGAAAATTCCACTCAAAATTTTTCCTTGTTTAATTGAGGAGTCACCAGTTTATAAATTCCTTCTCCTGATCTCAGTTGCAGCAGTTTGCCATTTGTAGAGAAGTTACTAGGCAGGCAGGTACCAAATCATTTAAGGATGTATTAGTGAAAACAAGTGCCTTTAAACTCCACGGGTGCATCTAGACTGGCAAGATCTTATGCAAAACTGGCCGCTTTTGCGCAAAAACTTAACAGCTGTCTACACTGGCCGCTTGAACTTGCACAAGAGCACTGATGTTCTAATGTAAGAATTCAGTGTTTCTTGTGCAAATACTTTGTTGCTCCCGCTCAGGGATACGCCCTCTTGTGCCAGAATACTTGCGCAAGAAGGCCAGTGTAGACAGGCACCTTAATTTTTTGCACAAGAAAGCCCAATGGCTAAAATGGCCATTGGAGCTTTCTTGTGCAAAAGTGCATCTATACTGGGCACGGATACTTTTGCAGAAACTCTCTTTTGCAGAAATACTTTTAACGGAAAAGTTTTTCCGTTAAAAGTATTTCTGCAAAAGAGAGTTTCTGCAAAACTTACTGCTGGCCTGAGTAGTTTATGAAATACCAATGCTATGTGCTCTGAGTTGGCACACAGGTATGTTCTTCACTAGTTTTAGCTTCTGGATGCAATGCCATGTTGTGTGCACTACAGTCGTACTAGTTGTAGCTTTACACTATTTGCTTTTATTTCTAGGTATCCAGCTACGCTCCTACCAAATGGAAGGAGTAAAGTGGCTTATACAGTGCTACGAAATTCAGTGTGGCTGCATCCTTGGTGATGAGATGGGTCTTGGAAAAACTTGTCAGGTGTGATGTTTTTTATTACTACATGGAATAACAACTTGATCCAATTTCTGTTTTCCCAGTCATTCCTACAAGAGAGGCAGAAAAATACCAAGGATCAAATTCTGAAGTGCTTACTAGAAGGACTGAAGCCTAAGTCTTGATTCCTATAGTGGGTTACTCAGTCAAAACCTTCCTTAGGTCAAAGGGAGTGTTGCCTGAGCAATACTCAGTAAGAACTTTATTTTTATTTTAACGCAAAATGATCGTCTGCTAAAGACATTTCATTGAACATTGTGGGCATGAAACAATGCGGTTAAGTTTTAAAAACATACTGTCAGTATACTGTTGATGTCATTTTGATACAAGACTGGGTGGATCAGTGCTTTTTTTTTTTTTTATGATACTGCCTGGTACTCCGTATCAGCACCTCCCGTCAGAGCTCAACAACTTTTCCCCTGGAGTACCAGCACCTTTTTTTTTTTTTTTTTTTAACAAAAAAGCACTGGGGTGGATAGTTTTATGAAGTTCAGTTCTAGGGTCAGAAGTGGGTAAAACTTGTGGATATTTCATATAACTCTTGTAAGTTTCGTTAGAGTTTTGGAGATTGGCTTTGGCATGCACATTCCTGTGACGGTATTCCATGCATCTTAAATAACAAGTGAATAGTGACATAGACTAGGTACTCTTCTGTCCTTGTGGGAGATAAGGTTCTTGTGGGAGGGGATTACTGAATCTCAGCTGCAGAATTCAAACCTAAACTTTTCCATAGTTTGGAGTTGCTTTGATTTTGGGGTGGGTTTTTTTTTGCCTTTTCCCATGGTTTGCTGCAGCGAACCTGCAAGCACTAGCCATGAGGCTGCGTGTGTGTTTAGACACAGTGTTTTCTAGTTATGGAAAATAATCTCTTCTTTGTCCATGTGTCTTCTAGACTATTGCTCTGCTTGTTTATTTGACTGGAAAGTTAAACAAAAGGCCATTTCTGATTCTTTGTCCTCTATCTGTGTTGAGCAACTGGAAGGAGGAGCTGGAGAGGTAAGCCTCAGCAATTCTATCACCATCTTATATCTGTTAGTTGAAAATAGCATTGCCAATTATTCTTGGAGATTTCATCACATAACATCATCTTTAATTCCTGAAGACTCCAGGACAATCCTGCTTGCAAAGGTCCTCTTAAAATATGCACAGTCACTCACATGTGGGCTGGGTTTTTTGTTGTTTTTATGACTGTGTAGACATTGAAACTTCTAAGTTTGATGACTGGATATTTTTCTTAAAGAAAAACAATTTAAAACTCTGATTTTAAACATGATTTAAGTAAGCAAGCAGTCAATCTTGATTTAAATCAACTATTTTAATCTTGTTTTGTATTTGTACTGTTTACCTATTTCCCTAAATAAAGCTTTGTTCCCACTGGTTGGCAAATGTAATTAAAACTTTCAATTAAATATAGTTTCAGTTCTAAATTAGGTACTTTTTTTTCTATCCAGGAGGATATGGTATATCTATACATATTTTTTTAAGCATTTATATGGTTTTACCTACATTTATTCAGTCTTGTAGTATTTATATTTTTATGATGTGAGAAAATGGTGAATGTTACAGTTCTTATTTACTGGATAATAGTTAATTTCTTTCTCTTGATTTGAGTCAAGCTTTGTATGGATTTGAAATTGGAATCCAATGGAAAAATACTACAAAAACAGAATATTAAATTTGTTTTTATTAGCTAGATGACACTACCTTAACTGTGCTGGATACATACGCGGAAAACAGTAATTTATCAAAACACATCATACTATTAACACTAATAATTAAAAAAGGGAAATATTGTTCCTCTTTTATGACTAAGTGCTACAAAAATACAAACAATAATAATCTGTAGTTAGTGAATTCAAGTGATTGTTTCTGATCTCCCATGTTCCTCAGAATTTTTTAACTAGTAGGTCTTGTGCTCTCATACCGGCTTTACTGCTTTTTCAACTCCCAATCACTTTATTTAACTTAGAATAAACTAGTCATTGAACTAAACTAATTGAATAAACTGAAATGAATAAAATATTTTCCTTGTACTTATAGAAGAGATTACAGCTATCAAAAGCACTTCAAGAAACTCTGGTTTCAGATGGTTAGCCAGTGACTTCTTCCATTTCATTTAAAATTAAATGAATGGAGATATACCTATCTCCTAGAGCTAGAAGGGACTTGAAAGTTCATTGAGTCCAGTCCCCTGCCTTCACAGCAGGACCAAGTACCATCCCAGCCAGATTTGTCCCAGATCCTAAATGGCCTCTTCAAGAATTGAACTCACAACCCTGGGTTTAACAGGCCAATGCTCAAAGCACTAAGAACAGCTGTACTGGGTCAGACCAAAGGTCCATTTAGCCCAGTATCCTGTCTACCGACAGTGGCCAGCACCAGGTGCCCCAGAGAGGGTGGACCGAAGACAACGATCAAGCGATTTGTCTCCTGCCATCCCTCTCCAGCCTCTGACAAACAGAGGCCAAGGACATCATTTTATCCCCTGGCTAATAGCCTTTTATGGACCTAACCTCCATGAATTTATCCAGCTTCTCTTTAAACTTTATTATAGTCCTAGCCTTCACAGCCTCCTCTGGCAAGGAGTTCCACAGGTTGACTACACGCTGTGTGAAGAAGAACTTTCTTTTATTAGTTTTAAACCTGCTACCCATTAATTTCATTTGGTGTCCTCTAGTTCTTCTATTATGGGAACTAATAAATAACTTTTCTTTATCAGCCCCCTCCACACCACAGGATTTTATAGACCTCCCCCCACAATAGTGAATATGCACTGTTTAATATTTGTATGTAATTTAAATTATTTTAATAGGCCATAGTAAGTTTGGACCTTAACATACACTGCCATAATTTCAAATTTAATTTTAAATAGCTTTCTTCTTTGAAAATTTATTTAAGTGGAAAAAAAATCCATTTTAAAATTGTTTCAATTCAAAATCATCTATTTTTATCTAAGCTGTCTCTCAAAGATATGTTCTCGTTCATACAGGAATTATTTCAGAGAAGCCCTATGGCTTGTGTTATATAAGTCAGCCTAGATGATTGTAGTAGTTCCTTCTGGCTTTAGAATTTATCAGTCAAAGCTATGGCACAAAACAGCACCATTCACAATGAGAAAATAGTATTCCTTATACCACTACGGTGCATCAGTCTGTTCTCCCTATGAATGCTACCAATATTGGGTGATCTATGGCCCGCATAACTACAGCCTGCACTTTCCTGGTCTTATTGTTTTGGGTTGCAGTCTCCATGCTCAACGTCCTTTAGGCAGAACTCACTGAAGATCATGAGAGCTTTTCTTGAGTGAAGGATAAGGCCAAACTATTAAGTCTGCACACAAAAGCATGCACTTCTATGTGTGCACAAGTTGGGCATGACATACACGGTTATGGTTGCTCACATAGTGCAGATATGTGCGTGTGCATTGGATGTACTGAATGTGCACAGAGGTCTAACTCTGAAAGAAGGGTCAGAAGATTAGGATCAGAAGGGGGAGGAGAGGACTTAGTTTGCAGGAGCTTACTGCAAAAGCAGCGAGGAGTCCTGTGGCACCTTATAGACTAACTGAAGTGTAGGAGCATAAGCTTTCGTGGGCAAAGACCCACTTCGTCAGATGCATGAAGTGGGTCTTTGCCCACGAAAGCTTATGCTCCTACACTTCAGTTAGTCTATAAGGTGCCACAGGACTCCTCGCCGCTTTTGCAGATTCAGACTAACACGGCTACCCCTCTGATACAGGAGCTTACTGTTTCTCAGAATCAGGGTCTGCAGTGAACAGATGCAATTTAGAAAAAAAAACTCTTTATCTAGGGCAGTGTTTCTCAAAGTGGCTGCTTCCCGCAGCTCCCCTTGCCTGCAAACGGTGAACTGGAGCTAATGGGAGCTGCGAGACTCCACGTTGACCATGGGGATGGCAGAGGAAATATGGATCAATATGTTTAACAATGTAGACAAGCGGTGACCATCTATCCAAGATGGGGGCTAAGCAAATGATTTGGGTGAGACACGAGAGAGAATTCCATTATCCTGACTCCTTTAACTCTTACATTACCTGTTCCCTGCAAGTTATGGAGGGATAGGTCCCATGGATGTCGCTATCACTTTGTTAAAGGAGCTCTGCTTTGCAGATGGGATGAGGACGCTTTCAGATCTTAGATCTAGGTTTGCTCTCAGAGTGCAAGTTGGAGGCTGAATCAGGGCTGATGTTGAGGTTTGGGAAAAACAAAATTTACTTCTCCTTTTATGACATTTTTTTTCTGCTCAAAATGGTAGAAATCCCATGAGTGGGGACCTACCATGTTCACAGCTATGAAAAACACATCATGGACTGTGAAACCTTGTCTTTGGTGTGCTTTTACCCTATGCTATACAGATTTCACAGGGGAGACCAACGTTTCTCACATGGGGGGGCCTGACCCAAAAAGGAGTTTCAGGGGGTCACAAAGTTATTGTAGGGAGGTTGTGGTGTTGCCACTCTTATTTCCATGCTGCCTTCAAAGCTGGGAGGCTGCAGAATGCTGGCTCATGGCCAAGCTCCCAGCTTTGAAGGCTGCTCCCCACCAGCAGCAGTGCAGAAGTAGGGGCGGCAGTACCATACCATGCCATGCTTACTTCTGTGCTGCTACTGAGGGTGGCACTGCCTTCAGAGCTGGGCTCCCAGCTGCCACTCGCCAGCTGCCCAATTCTGAAGGCAGCACTGCTGCCAGTTCCAGTGTAGAAGTAATGGTAGCAGGATTTCATCCACTCCTCAAATAATCTTGCCACCCCCTCCCAAATTCCTTTTTGGGTCATGACCTCTACAACTACAACGCCCTGAAAGTACAGACTTAAGCAGCTAAAATCATGAAATTTATTATTTTAAAAATCCAAAAACTATGAAATTGACACTAATGGACTGTGGATGTCAGAGGGTCCATGAGAGTGGTTGTTATCACAGGGTTTCCCATCTTTAGCATTAGCAGCCAAGGGAAAGTAGCCGTTCTCATAAGATTTTGGCCTCTTCTAAGCCAGAGCCACACACTAGAGTCCAGCGTGGCTCCAGGTCTATCCGGTTAGGTTTAGAATCAGAGACTTGAAAATCCCAAACACACCGCCTCCCGCAACTGAAGCATTTGGATTCGAGTTTGCAGTTTTGGCCCTTCTGTGGTTTGTACGCTAGGTTTGATAGACTGGGTTCAAAGCCGACTAAGCTCTTTACTTACACAAAAGCCTCAGCCTAACTCACTACTTTTTTTTTTTTTTTTTAAATAATGAAAACAGATTTGCTCCAGGTCTTTCCTATGTGGCGTATGCAGGAGACAAGGAGGAAAGGGCCAAGCTGCAGTGGGACCTGAAAGCGCATTCTCATTTCCATGTGCTGTTAACTACATATGAGGTACCTGTCACCAGGCAGGAGCATTGCCCGTGTACCTTTCTAACTAGAGCCTCTTAACATCACATCCAGTGGAAGTTTCTGCTTGAATTTACCCTCCCCTTCATCCCTTTCAATTGCTGCTCTCGGACCCTCTTCTGCATGCCTGATTCAGACAGACCCCTCAGGCCTTTCTCTAGGAAAATTCCCATTGAAGGTAATAGGGGTCTCAGGTGAATAACGAGTGCTGAACAGAGCCCACAATTAGGACCCAGTCTTGCTCTTATTGGTGGCAGTGGGAACAAGATTGGGCCCTTAGTCACTGCTTTGGCCTCTCCTGCAGTTATTAAACCCATGTTCTGCTGCTTAATTATCATTATGGGAAAAATACAAATCTTCTCCATTCAGAATCGCTTCCCATGGGGCTGATGTAGCACCATTAATTCAATCTGCTTTTAAAAGTAAACAAACACATTGACTTGAATCGTAGTGGTGCAACGTCTCCCTCACAGCTCGCTGTTAGCTGCCTTCATCTGATTTTTCTGTCCTTCTGTCCTTGCTTTGTCCCTTTGCTTTTCCTGTTTTGGGGTGTGTCTCTTTCTTTTCTCCCTTAGGTTGGGTCTGTCTGTCCCATGCTGTCCCCTCTGATCCTGCCTACTTTTCCACTGTTCTCCCCCATCATTTCTGTGCTATAGGAATACTTGTCCACAAACGGGTGACTTTCACTTTGGAGCAAGCTTGAGAAAGCGCCACCTATACATAAATAAACTCACTTAACTAGTAATCCCTAGTCTCTTTTTCCATTGCTGTTGCCAATGATGAGGTCTGTGCTTTTAATACTAGCTTTTCTCTTGACACAGCCCAATTTCTCCTCCCTTTTGCAGGTAGACAGCGTGTGTGTGTGTATGATGTTAGCAGATAATTTTTCATTCATCATTATCACTTATTTTAATGGAGGGTCAAAAAGGAGGGAAAATGGGACACCGAGGAGACCTAGTTAATTGTTCCAGTTCCCAAACATGGGAAGAAACATTATATGGGAAAGTATGACAGAGGTGAAAAGACTTGGCTGAGATATCTGAATACTTTCCCCAGTTGGAGAATCTCTTTTCATTCTTGGTTGAGCTTTACTGCTTGTTTGTTGCAACATATTTCAGATGAGACCTAAAATTAAGGTCCTGGCAACTTGCGGAATAGTGATAGAGATGCAGCCGTGTTAGTCTGGTGTAGCTGAAACAAAAGACAGAACTATGTAGCACTTTAAAGACTAACAAGATAGTTTATTAGGTGATGAGCTTTCATGGGCCAGACCCACTTCCTCAGATCAATATGTGGAAGAAAATCGGCACAACAAAATATACCAAAGTGATACAATCAAAAAAATGAACACGTGAAATTGACAAATCAAATTCTAGAACAGAGTGAGGGGGAGGGAGGAAGGTTAGTTTTTGTGAGGTAAATGACATAGGGGTGATAATAGGGGAAGTTTCTGTGAGGTAATGACATTAGGGGTAATAAATGGGGAAGCTATCTTTGTAATGGGTGAGATAATTAGAGTCTTTGTTTAAACCCATACATAAAGTGTCAAATTTAAGCATGAATATCAGTTCTGAAGCTTCTGGCAACTTGCGGTTATTATAGATCCCAGGGTATTTTCCATAAGAGCAGATTGGGTGTCTTGGCCAAATTGCAGCTCCACTACTTACATTTGAACTCTAAATTCTCCTTGCAGTTTCAGTTCACTTTCACTTTCTCTCCTATTCTGTTATGTGCTGTTAAGTCACTGTCCTTTGCTATTCAAGTGGCAGCTGCAGTTCAAGGGTTGAAGAAGTGGTCTTTCTTGGTGAACTATTGGTATATCGGAGTGTTATGTTAGTAAATTACTTTAGGATATGTCATGTTGAGAGGTGCTGTATAACTCAGGCATTATGTATAACATTGGTTTTGTTTGATTACAGATTTGCCTAAAAGATGGAGCATTTCTAAAATCGTGAGTTAATTTTAATTTTAGTAGGTTTTATACAATAGGTCTGTCAACAGTTTCTCTAGGCACATTGATATGACATCACATAAGCCATTAACGTTCTTCTTTGATTATTAGAGCTTTGTTTCTAGCAACTTTCCGTGAAATATCTTTTTTACTTTCAGCCGTATTGTCCATGAGTACACCCCCCTGCATTTCTCATACCTCTAGAAGGACAGTTTCCAAGCAGATTAAATAGGAAATATTATGCACGCCTCACACGTAACTGGCATAAAATGAGTGAATGGATTTTTGCTCCCAGGTTATCTCCCAGAGAGTAAGCAATAGCTCCAATAGAATGTAGTACATAGCAGTATGTAGAGTAACATTCTGGTAAAAGTGGCTGCGTTGATTTAGGTTATAAGTACAGACTTTGATGAAAATGAATTGATTTATCATATTCTGGACAAGATCATAACCTAAACTGTGTCACATGATTGCCAGTCCAGCAGATCCCACTCTTTGAATAGTTATCTGACTTGCTGGCGAGATCTGTAATTTATTAGTATGCCTGCTCACAGGCAAATATTTCTATGTTTGAAATGGGATGGGATTTGGATATCTTATAAAAATAATGGTGATGCCTTTTCATAACTAACAGTGTTTGTATGATTTCTGGAAGCAATCAAAGCTAATGAATACTTCGGAGACTTTGTAGGAGATGAAAATGAATTGCCCCCCTCATCTCTTCAGCCTCAAGTCACAGCTAGTCAGGTATATTATGGAACTCCTCTGACACACAAATTATTAGCCATTGCTAGAAGCAAGATACTGGCCTTGATGAGCACATCAGGATAGAATCCATGTCTTGAGCTGGTAATTAACACATCATGAAACCAGAGGGCTAGTGAGGCTGTTATGAGCCCAGGGGCACAGGCAAAATTTGTACCCCCTAATCATTTGTTGCAGGAGCATTTTGCAGTTGCTAATTTCACTCTTGCTCCTCCCCCAGTCCTTTCCATCCCCCCCCAACCCCAGCAGTGAACGCCCAGTTCCAGTCATGCTCGTGTAACCCACACACCTAGTGTGGTTACCATGCAGTGGCACCTAGGCCACAGCAACAGTTAAGACCAACAGACCTCTACAGCAGGGGCTGGGAGCTAGCTGGCTTTTAGCTCAGAGGGTAGAGGCTTCTATACTCTGCTTCAGAGGTCCTGGGTTCAAATCTGCCTGGTGGCGGTTACACTCACAGTGACACCTCACAGCCCACCTGCATGGGGGAAGGGGAAGGGAGGAGTATTGGTGTCTAGGTCTCATCCCTGGAGTCTCCTCTGCAACTTCTCTCCCCTGGTGCGGGCCAAGCCCCTCCTGCCATTGGCTCCCAGCATGCGCCAGCCCCGTGTGCTCCATTGGCTGAGCCACCGCGGGAGGCAGGTGGGGAAGAACCCTGGTGGTGCCGCTTTTTAAAGAGGGCGCAGCGCTATCTTGCAACCAGAGAAGGCTGGTTGCATGCGGGGGGGAGGCGCGCGCGAGGTCCTGGGAGCCAGGGTGTAAGCGGGAGAAGGAAGAGGGGCGTTTGCGTCAGAACTTGCCAGGGCTGTTCTGTCCTGGCTCGCACTTCCCACCTCCCCTCCCGCCCCTCTTCGGTCTGTAGCGTGATGAGCCACCTGCGGGCAGTCACCGCCAAGTGGGTGGAAGGGGGCAGAGACTTGGGGGCCCCAGCAGCTGGAGCAAATTCAACAACATAACTTTTGGCAGCTAAATTGGTGCCCCTTTAGCATGGTGCAACTGCCCCCTCCCCCCCGCCCACCATCAGTGGCCACTGCATGAAACGCTTTTGGTGTGTTTAAAACCACCGAGAATGCAGCTCAGTCCTCTAGTTCCGAATGACCTTCTGCTTAATTCCATGTCATTTTGATAATTTTAGACCATCAGCGGCAGTATATAGAGTAAGGTATGTCGGCGAGAAGTTGAGTGATGTGCCTGTTACCACATAACTATCTTAGGACCAGTCTCTTGGTTTTGAGCCACGAGGTCTCACTGCCTCACTACTCGGATTCTTTGAACCTGAATTGTTCCATCTGAAAAATATGGCTAATAATAACAATACTTCACATGTTTCCATCTGGAAACACTTTACAGAGGTGGGTAGGAATGCAGTGCATCTTGCTATAACAGTGTGATTTACAAGGGTAGCAAAGCAAATGATACACTGTATGTTCTCAGTACATGATTTTGAACGGTTTACTTGGCCAAGTGGAAAGCCATCTTTCTCCATAATGAGGCTGTGATGGTACTTTTCAGTCAGGACTATTTCCTGGCTTCTACCCCCGCTTTTCAAAAATAGCTCACAGGGATTGGGGGGAAGCAGTTCGGTTGCTTTTAAGGGAGTAAAAAAAAAATTATACCTCTTTCCATTATAAACCTATAGGCCACGTCTACACTGCACATGCCAAGCGTCTACACTGCACATGCGTACTTGCACAAGTAAATTTACAGTAAAGCGTCGGAACAGAGGGCTTCTTGCACAAGAGTTATTTCTCTCCCCACGAGGAATATACCCTCTTGTGCAAAAAGGCAAGGTGGACGGGCTACAGGGGTTTCTTGCACAAGAAACCCCTATGGCTAAAATGGCCATCAGAGCTTTCTAGTGTCCACACTGCCATGGATGCTCTTGCACAAAAGCACATGGCAATGTGGATGCGCTTTTGTGGAAGACCTTTTGCACAAGAACTCTTGCACAAAACAGTTCTTGCGCAAGAAGCCTGCAGTGTAGACATAGCCTAAAGTTTTATAATGGAAAGAGGTGTAATTTTTTTTTTTTTACTCCATTAAAAGCAACGGAACTGTTTCACCCAAATCCCTGTCCTCATTTTAGTCCCAAAAGTACATCTTGGAGCAGAGACACAGCTTGGGAAGTAGCAAGCTGAAAGGTGGCGGTTGCAGAGTGATGGAAAACGAGGGGAGAATGAAAAGGGTTTTACAACCTCAAATAGAGATTGCTACAGGGCATCAGTTACACCAAGAAATGCATGTGAGTGGCAAATTTTAGGTGGAGATCTCATTTCTCCCCTGTTCCCCTTGGGATTCAAAGGATTTTAGATGCTGGGTCTTCAGTACAGCTATAGAATGAGGCAGCTCACATTGACCTTTTCACATTGTCAAGGATGATTTGAATTTTAAATGAAAACAGTATTTTCTGTTAATTTATGTTACAGTTTTAACTGGGCTGCTCTGGTTGTGGATGAAGCCCACCGACTGAAAAATCAGAACTCACTGCTGCACAAGACACTTTCAGAGGTAAAGAGCTTAAGAGCTTTTTAGCAATTAAAGGTCTTTTCTCTCCTTTAACAAATACAGGTTCATTATTTATGTCATTATTTATCCCTCAGCATGTTTGTCCGCAGGCCTGATTCAGTTCCCCTCAAAGCCAGGAGACTGACTCCCATTGTCTCCAATGGCAAATCAGTTGGGCCCTGCGTTAATGGGTTGGGATGGGAAATCCTTTGTCTGGAACTTGTCTCAGGTTCTGACCTCTCATTGGGGCTCAGAAGTTTGAGGAATGGGAGGAAAAAGATGCAAGTAAAAAGGCAATGATGTGGAACAAAATCACAGCTATGTGACGTCTGCATTAGGAGTCTGTATTTCTGATATAAATGATTCAAAATAAAGAAGTGAAGTAGCAGTGAATTTGGAAGTCTGGTCCAGTGGCGAGTGCAGGGGACTCTGAGTCATGACTCCTCAGGTCTGCTTCTGTGGTCTTGCTATGTGACCTTGTTTAAGTCACTTCTCTTCATGGAAGCTGGTGGTGTTGCTCTGGATTCAACCACGTGCCCCAGATCTAAATCTGCCCCAGTAGAAGCAAAGCACATCCAAGGACAGAATAAGCCTAGGGGAACCTTTTTTAGTATTTCTGAATCTATTTCTGCGTATCTAGTACTGGACTGCTCATTAGTAATGCTAAAAGATAATCCCAATACCACCTTCATTCTGCTCACCTACATCCCATTTTGAGGCATTTTATATAGTATGTGTTGGACCTCCCTGATCTGGTGCCCTCAGGACCTGTGCGGTCCCGAGCAAAGGAGTTTGCCAGACTGGGTAGGTTAAGCCTCGGGTTCTCCTGAGGCTTCTCTCCTGGCCATCAGCCTCAGTCAGTGTGCTGCCACAACTCACCTGCTGGCTTTGCTGATGAGGCTTCACTCCAGCCCGCCAGCCCTGCTCTGGCTGGCGGGCCTCCCTGTTCCCCACTGCCAGCCCGGTTCCCTGTGGCGTTTGGATTTTTGTAGAAATTTTCCCAGCAGCTCTAGTTATTTAGCACTGTGCACAAGGTTTGCACATGTAGTGCAGCAGAGATTGAGATTTTAACGGCACTGACCTTTGCTCAGACTTGTTTTGTGCTCTGGCGTAACTCCATTAACGTCAGAGGAGTTGCACCTGATTTTTACCCAAGTGTGTGAGAGGAGAGTCAGGCCCTTTTCGTTGACTTGGTATTCCCGATCTTGAATTTGCTGTCTTCCACTAAAATTGCAGAGTTCTGCAGGGAGCCTCTCTACCAACTGTCAGATTTTGGTAGTTGTGGGAGAGTCATGAAGGGGGTTTGTATGGCAAGCGACTTTATATTCCCGTTGAATGTTGCAGTTCATTTTACTTTGCCTTTGCTTATCTCAGTTTTCAGTGGGCTTCAGCCTCCTGCTCACCGGCACGCCTGTTCAGAACAGTCTCCAGGAACTGTACTCCCTGCTCAGTTTTATTGAGCCTGGTATCTTTCCTAAAGAACAAGTGGAAGAGTTTGTTCAGTGTTATCATGGGATTGAAAAGGAGAGCAAGCCAGGCAAGTAATGAGTCATAAAATGCATTTGAGGGTCAGTGCTATCAGCTGGTTCGAACAGGGGCTTGGGTGTTGGGACTTTAGGGTGTGTGTTCTCTGACACTGATTAGTTATGAAAAGAAGCCTCCTATATCAGCATGTGTATGCCTTAATATATGTTCAGAGACATGCCTTTAGACAGCCAGGTTTGTTTCTGTTTCCCCTTCTACAAAATAGGGAAAATGCATCTCACAAGGCGGTGTGAGGTTTTATTAATGTTTATATTTAAAAAAAGTGCTAGAGTCATTCATTACATTTAATTCGCTGTCTGCAACCTTTTATTCCCCTGAACAGCCAAAGAATTGCACTGTCTTCTGCAGCCCTTCTTGCTTAGGAGGGTGAAAGCTGAGGTCACAGCAGAGCTGCCTAAGAAGGTAGAAGTGGTTCTGTATCATGGGATGTCAGCTCTGCAGAGAAAATACTACAAAGCTATTTTGATGAAAGATCTAGGTAATTGGGACTTTTGTGGGGGTTGGGTCTAATCAGTTCATTTAAAAGCAAAATTAGTTTCCTTTTTTAAATTTGTGCACTCTGTTGTAGTGAAATAGGAAATGCATTAGCATTCAGAAAATGCACTGAATAATTGTGCAAGTTCACTATTCTGAATGATCCTTGCGAAGCAAGTAATATTAAAACTGCAGATCAGTCTGATGCATTTTCCTAAGACTCACAGCTGTTTGATCCTGGGCTTCTGGTTTGACACACTGCCATTTGGAACTATCTGAAGGTGTGGAAGCAGCCAGTTCCAGGATTCTGGTTCGGGCTAACCTCTAATTAAAATGTGATTAAACATCTTTAGACATGTCTTTAGTATCACCAGTTGCATATGTTAGCATCCAGTCAAACACCCTTGTAGATTCTTCTCCTTCATAACAAACTCCCTTGTACGTCTAATACATGACCAACCAAAAGAACTCACCGTTTATGCTGAATTACACTCAGATATCCACTCCTTATTCTGACCTCATAGTCTTTCTTGTGTGAATGCTACATCACAGCTGGACTAAGTCTGCCCACCAGGGACAGCAGTCGTCACGCAGGAGTTAGAGGGATAGCAAGAGCCAGGGTCAGAATCAGGTTGGAGTTGGACACAGGAGATCAAGCAAAGTCTGACCTTGCAGCCAGGCAAAGTCTGTGTGTTTGCCCAGACCACTTCCTAGACCTACCCCTAGGGTTAAGAAGGGCAGTGGGCCAATCAGAGGACCACAGTGGGTATTATTATTCTGAGTGTACTGGGCAGCATTTCCTGTGTTGTCTACTTCCCACAGTGCACCTTGGCTGCACCTCCGCATGGCCTCCTGGTGATACTGGGGGAATGTCAGCAGTCCTAGGCGCTGCAGGCCTGGGTTCTGGTTGCCACGTCTTTACATCTACAGACTACCAGGATGAGCATGTCTGCAGAGGCAGAGTACTGGAGAGCCCTTGCTTGTCCTAATGACAGTGCAGAAACACTCTGCTCATCTGGTGCTACTTCTCCATGCACTAGAGCAGTGTTTCCCAATTTTATTTGGCCGCGGAACCCTTTTAAACTTGAAAGAATGTTGCAGAACCCCTAATAACAGTCTTATATATGGAGCTGAAAAAGTAGACCACAAATAAGTAAGGATAATAATAAACAAATGCTAAACAAAGTCACGAGATCAACATTTAGTTTAATTGCACATATTTAAAAAACAAAAATCACATTTAACATGTACAATTTTTTTTTAAATCCTAAAATGTTATTGTAATGGAATTTTCTCGCGGAACCCTTATTTTCACTTCACCATTTGGGAAACACTGCACTAGAGAGTGGAGGCCACTGTGCAAGGGGAGCCCTTGAACTGCTGATGCCGAGTGCAGAGGGAATGTGCTGCCACAGGCTGCTCCTGCCACAGATGCCCACAATCTTCTTCCCCGTCTGCTCTCAGACTCTTCCACGCATCCCCTTGTAGTCTCCACACAGCCTCCTCAGCGCCCTGCTGAGCACTGCTTCTCTCCATAGGCCCAGCGCTTTTCTGTCCCTCCTCTCAGAGCCTCCCCATGGTTCTGCCATCGAGTATTGAGGCAGCAGCGGTAAGATTCTCGGGGCCGGCTCAATGTTTCATCCCTTCTCAGAGCCGTGATGCTTCTCCCTCCTCTGACCAGCCTCTCTCACTGGCCCTTCACAGATGCTGAGCAGAGCCAGGAAATGCCACTAGGAGGCCAAGCACAGGCACAGCCAGGAAACATGGGTGTGGCATCTGAGCAGATCTCGATGGGGCTGCCAGCTTTTCATTCCAGTACCCCAGTGCATTCTATCAAGTACTTTTTGTTTGTTAATTTGTAAAATGCCAAATACCTCAGCTATGTGAAGTTTCAGGGACAGTGGCTTTTTTTTCCCTCTCTCTGAGGAAAATTTCCAACTAATATCACTTGTAAATGTTTCCTCTGCCCAAGTGGATAAATATTTGACCAAGAAAATAGGAAAGAAAACTTGATGCATGAAGGAGGGAGTGTGTTAAATTTGGAACCTGAATTTGAACAATACCACCGAGAGGTTTCCCTTCACTGTTATAAACCTGCAGAGCTATTTTCAGTGGCCAGTCACTACTTTTACAGTGTATTCCCAGAGCGCTTGCTGAACGGCTCTGCCATTTTATTTTTGTGTTTCAGATGCATTTGAAAATGAAGCAGGGAGGAAAGTTAGACTTCAGAATGTCTTAATTCAGCTTCGAAAGTGTGTAGCCCATCCATACCTGTTCAGTGGTGAGACAGAACTCTTCTCTCTTTGAAAGAAACCAAAATCATCATAAGATATGAGCCAATTTTCTTCAAACATGGCTTGTTTTGCAGATTTCAATGACTCTTAAAAATTGAGTTTAGCCTGAAGACTGTATGTCATTACTGTAGTGTTCCTCCTACCTAGCAAAGCACTGTCAGTCTTGGAGCCAGAGTCCAGGTTATTACCTAGGTCAGCTTAGCACAGCAGTCTCCAGACTTTGAGGGTTATGCCCCCCCGTATCCCTGTCTGTGTCCATCCCAGAGCCAGAGCTAGGAGTGGGGCCACAGCTGGGGGGGAGGGATACGCAGCCAGGAGGAAGAGACTGCAGCTGGGAATGGGGCCATGCCCAGGGGAGACGGGTGGGAGTGGAGCTGCAGCCGGGCTGCAGTGGGGGCCAGCAGCTAGTTCCGCAGCCAGGTGCAGCTTCCCTTGCGGCCTTGCCCGCAGCATCAGCTCAGAGATGGGAATGGAGCCCAGCTAGGGGTGGGGAGCAGAGCTGGGGGTGAAGAGTGGCTAGGTGGTGCTCCCTCCTCGCCCAATGGGGGCTGGCCTGGGTCTTGCACTTCCGGGGACCTCTGGCTTAGTGGCAGCTGCAGGCATGGCAGTGAGGTAACTTGTGGGGAACCTGGAGGCCCTTGCTATCAGTGGTCTAATTTGAGTATTGCTTCTGAGACTTTCTTCCCTCCCAGGTGTCGAACCAGAGCCCTTCGAAATTGGAGACCACCTCATTGAAGCCAGTGGGAAGCTGTGCTTGTTGGACAAACTCCTTTCATTCTTGTATGCTGGGTATGTGGTGTTATTGAGCTTTCCTTGGGGGGCGAGTCTAGGTAAGCTTGGCTCGGAAAAGCGAACTGTTACCTGCATGCCCCAAGGAACTGGGGTGGTACCGGTAATGCTGAATTACTGACAGCTGTACAGAAGAGGGATGTTAAAATGTGTTTGTTTACATTTCAGTGGTTACACGTAGGGCAGCAGTTGGCTCCCTGGGAGCTCTGGCTCCTGTAGCCACCCCGCAATGCTGCCTGTGAGATAGCAGCAGCAGCAGCAGCATAGGGCAGCAGGCGGCTCCCTGGGAGCCGGTTTGTGCCGGGAGTCAGCTTTTAAGCCATCTCCCTGCGTGTATTGGGAGCCTGTGTGTAACCGTGAATGTTAATTGATGAGTCCAGGCTCATTGGTTAACTGTGTACACGGTTACACGTTCACATCCCTAGTGCAGAAGTGATTACAGTGTTGCAGCTACACAGGGGAGCTGACAGGCTCTGTGGGCCCCTGGGCAAAGTGTATGGGGGGGCTGGCTCCATGCTCCCAGAAGGGGCAGGGCAGCCAGCGCTCAGCAATGCCCCAAGCACACCACACTGGCTCCCAGGCAGCCCTCAGAGCTGCCCGGCGGGCCCTCTGCCTCCCAGCCCTCAGAGCTGGCCGGCATGCCCTCTGCCTCCCAGCCCTCAGAGCTGCCCGGAGCGCACCACGCAGCGCCTCAGCAACCACTTAAAGGGCCCGAGGCTGGGGCTGCCACCACTGCTGCAGTAGCAGCAGCAGCAGCTGGGAGCCTGGGCCCCAGTGAAACCCTGGGTCCTGAGGCAATTGCCCCCATTGCCACCCCCTGTTGGCAAGCTGCAGCTACAGATGGGATGGTAAAGGAACCTTAAAAGGTTCAACGCTTCCTTTTAAAGAGCCCAGAGTACTGGTTGCTTCTTTGTATTTATTCAGACCTCTTCTGTCTCTGAATAGGGCTGGGAGGCAGAGGGCACGCTGGGCAGCTCTGAGGGCTGGGAGGCAGAGGGCACGCCGGGCAGCTCTGAGGGCTGGGAGGCAGAGGGCACGCCGGGCAGCTCTGAGGGCTGGGAGGCAGAGGGCACGCCGGGCAGCTCTGAGGGCTGGGAGGCAGAGGGCACGCCGGGCAGCTCTGAGGGCTGGGAGGCAGAGGGCACGCCGGGCAGCTCTGAGGGCTGGGAGGCAGAGGGCACGCCGGGCAGCTCTGAGGGCTGGGAGGCAGAGGGCACGCCGGGCAGCTCTGAGGGCTGGGAGGCAGAGGGCACGCCGGGCAGCTCTGAGGGCTGGGAGGCAGAGGGCACGCCGGGCAGCTCTGAGGGCTGGGAGGCAGAGGGCACGCCGGGCAGCTCTGAGGGCTGGGAGGCAGAGGGCACGCCGGGCAGCTCTGAGGGCTGGGAGGCAGAGGGCACGCCGGGCAGCTCTGAGGGCTGGGAGGCAGAGGGCACGCCGGGCAGCTCTGAGGGCTGGGAGGCAGAGGGCACGCCGGGCAGCTCTGAGGGCTGGGAGGCAGAGGGCACGCCGGGCAGCTCTGAGGGCTGGGAGGCAGAGGGCACGCCGGGCAGCTCTGAGGGCTGGGAGGCAGAGGGCACGCCGGGCAGCTCTGAGGGCTGGGAGGCAGAGGGCACGCCGGGCAGCTCTGAGGGCTGGGAGGCAGAGGGCACGCCGGGCAGCTCTGAGGGCTGGGAGGCAGAGGGCACGCCGGGCAGCTCTGAGGGCTGGGAGGCAGAGGGCACGCCGGGCAGCTCTGAGGGCTGGGAGGCAGAGGGCACGCCGGGCAGCTCTGAGGGCTGGGAGGCGGAGAGGGCACGTTGGGCAGCTCTGAGGGCTGGGAGGCGGAGAGGGCACGTTGGGCAGCTCTGAGGGCTGGGAGGCAGAGGGCGCGCCGGGCAGCTCTGAGGGCTGGGAGGCAGAGGGCGCGCCGGGCAGCTCTGAGGGCTGGGAGGCAGAGGGCGCGCCGGGCAGCTCTGAGGGCTGGGAGGCAGAGGGCGCGCCGGGCAGCTCTGAGGGCTGGGAGGCAGAGGGCGCGCCGGGCAGCTCTGAGGGCTGGGAGGCAGAGGGCGCGCCGGGCAGCTCTGAGGGCTGGGAGGCAGAGGGCGCGCCGGGCAGCTCTGAGGGCTGGGAGGCAGAGGGCGCGCCGGGCAGCTCTGAGGGCTGGGAGGCAGAGGGCGCGCCGGGCAGCTCTGAGGGCTGGGAGGCAGAGGGCGCGCCGGGCAGCTCTGAGGGCTGGGAGGCAGAGGGCGCGCCGGGCAGCTCTGAGGGCTGGGAGGCAGAGGGCGCGCCGGGCAGCTCTGAGGGCTGGGAGGCAGAGGGCGCGCCGGGCAGCTCTGAGGGCTGGGAGGCAGAGGGCGCGCCGGGCAGCTCTGAGGGCTGGGAGGCAGAGGGCGCGCCGGGCAGCTCTGAGGGCTGGGAGGCAGAGGGCGCGCCGGGCAGCTCTGAGGGCTGGGAGGCAGAGGGCGCGCCGGGCAGCTCTGAGGGCTGGGAGGCAGAGGGCGCGCCGGGCAGCTCTGAGGGCTGGGAGGCAGAGGGCGCGCCGGGCAGCTCTGAGGGCTGGGAGGCAGAGGGCGCGCCGGGCAGCTCTGAGGGCTGGGAGGCAGAGGGCGCGCCGGGCAGCTCTGAGGGCTGGGAGGCAGAGGGCGCGCCGGGCAGCTCTGAGGGCTGGGAGGCAGAGGGCGCGCCGGGCAGCTCTGAGGGCTGGGAGGCAGAGGGCACGCCGGGCAGCTCTGAGGGCTGCCTGGGTGCCACTTTGGTGTGCTTGGGGCATTGCTGAGTGCTGGCTGCCCTGCCCCTTCTGGCTGAGAACATGAGTTGTTTTACATGATGTCTGATGCTTCTGGTTTGGCCACAGATTGCAAGAGAACAGGCCTTCGTGCTGTGCTTCAGTTCCTCTGGGCTGAGGAAACACAAATATGTGGTCAAGATAAAAAATAGTCATAATTTGAGAGGGGGATAAAAACCTATCTAGGAATGGGGAAAGCCTGGAATACACACACACCAGGCTTGGGGGATTTGAGATTTGGACCCAGATTCTGGAACTTAAGTTTGATGGCTTCAGAATCTGAAATTGAAGTCTTAGATTCCTGCACAGTCCTCCCAGGAGAGCACTAACCAAACCAGGAAAGACTTCAACTCGACTTCAGGGGCAGGATGTGGGACAGTTCCTTTTCTATGATCAAGCGTAATACCAAACAAGAGCATCTAAACGAGCATGCAGTTCCCCTATGACAGCTTCCTTAGCAAGTTCTTAAACAGCCATTTTAAAGTAAAAATGGAAATTTTAAAGAGGCTGGGATGATTTTGCTTCTGAGCTGTCTGGCAGCGCTGGGGGGAGAGAGAGAGAGAGAGAGAGAGAGAGAAGATATGTGTGTGTTTGTCTGTCCCTTTCCAGGTCTTGGCCGTAAGAGTGCATAGGACCCATAAATCTGTTGCACCTAAGAATGATGCTGGTTAGTACCAGTTGGCTTAAAGACAGCGTTGTCACAGCATAAAGCACATAGCACAGGTCTGGAAGTCAGGCGTTCTGAGCGCTGACTCCAACTTTGCCACTAATTCACTCTGTGACCTCAACAAGTCATTTTATATTTTAGGAAACTGAAATCATGCACCAGGGGTGGGCAAAAGGGCCTCTGCAGGCTGGATCTGGCCCACCAAGCAAATTGATCCAGCCCGTGGAGGCCTTACCACTCCCCCCGCCCACAGGCCAGTCAGGGAGGGGGGCAGCGCACAAAGTCTCCTCCCTCCCTGCAAGGGGCTCGGCACTTAAAGTCAATTGCCAGCTGCTGCTCAGCTGGCGGTTGGGTCTAAGTACAGCGCTTCCTTGCAGGGAGAGAGAGACTTCACCTGCTCTCCCTCCCCAGGCCCTGATAGACCTGGGAGGCAGCAGGGGGGAGCACATGAAGTCTCCTCCCACTGCCAGAGGCACAGTTGCCTAGAGGGAATTGCCAGCTGTTCTGAACAGCTGGCGGTTCTCTCTGGGAAGGAGAGGGGCAAAGACTTTGTGCACTCCCCCACCCCCAGACCAATCAGGGTTTGTGGGCGGGGAAGCACAGAAGTGTCCTGGCTTCGCCTCTTCTGCCTGAGATCCCTCCCCTTTTGGGGTGGCCTGGGGCCACTTTAAAAAATTTTGAAGTGGTCCTCGGTCAGAAATTGCCTACCCCATCATACAATGTTTGGATTAAATATACTCCTGTATATTAAACTAAGCTAGCTTGGTCTGTCTCTCTCTTTCTGTGAAATGCTACAAACAGTCACGTTGAAGTTATGGGGTCTCACTTTATCTCTGCAGTGGCCATCGGGTCTTGTTGTTTTCTCAGATGACTCGGATGCTGGATATTCTGCAAGACTACATGGACTATAGAGGTGAAATACTTGTGCTCTTGGAGCAACTGTCTTGTCATGATGACCTTTTATTAGCCACACTGGAGCAGTACCTGGCTGATCCTTGCATGACAGAGAAGGGACCATAATACTGGGGGCTTATTTCTAGCAGGCAGAAGAAGTTTTCTTGCAGTTTCTGACTGCTTATGTGACATTGGGCAAGTCTCTTCAGTTCTCTCTGCCTCAGTATTGCCATCTGTGAAAGTGGGATAACAAAGCTGTTGTGAGGTTCAGTGAAGTAATGTATCCGAGAGTGCTGATTCCCATCACTCCCTCATCCTCTTTGCTGTAGGATTAGAGTGCTGATTCCCATCTTGTGCCCAGTCCCTGCCATACCCTGCCCTGTGCGGAGATGGTGTTGGGAGGAACTGGCTTTTAAACTAGCTTCCCCAAGCACCAGCTCCTGCTTCTCCCCTCCCCTTTTTGCCTCGGATAGAGGCAGCCAGGGTGGGGAGAGAAGCGACTAAGTCGAGGGAGTAGTCGACTAGCCACATCCCTACCTGGCATCACTGAGAGTGGTGAAATTTGGGAATACAGGGAGCCTCCTGGACTCTGCGGTGAGTTCCTTGCGGCTCCCAAATTCACCCCGGGCCTGAGAGCCGTGGGGAACTCACCGTATCTGCCGCGGGGAACCCACCGTGGTGAGGGCAGCCACAGGGGCCAGGAGCTATGGTGAGTTCCGTGCGGCTCCCGGCCCCTGCCACTTCCTCTCCCTCCCCCCCTCCCACAAGCCATGATAGGAGACTCACACGAGTAGTGATCCCACAAATCACAAGGGTTCTCCTGTATTCTGGATTTACACCAGTCTGAATTAAATAAAAAGCAGAACATGTCGCCTCCACCAGGAAATGAACTTATTACTGAAAACTGTTGTGAGCAATGTGCCTCTTGGAAATAATGTGAGTGCAAGTGTAGGCTGGGTCCTGCTATTTTTGGCAATGTTAGCAGATGTGTTCTTGAGACATGAGACTTTTTCTTTCATTTCAGTCCATGAGGCTATATGCCAACTGTTTCTCATGAGAGAGGCTTTTATTTAATGTTTATTGCCATAGACAACTAATAACAAAACCTAAAGATAAACATTGGGACCAAATCCTGTAATCCTGGCTCAGAAAAGCTGGCATGGAAGTCAATGCAAAAGGACTCTATGCTTTGGTCCATAATGTGGGGGCAGTTGCCAAAGAGCCCTGATCTTAAACAGTCCATGTACCAGCACACATCTGCTTTGATTCTAAATTTTTCTGTTTTGTTTCCAAGCAGCAAACTGAAACACAAGAGTTCCTGCTACACATTCAGTTCTGGTAGCCCCTGCATTCGCTAAGTCTGAAGTAACTCCATGGAAGTCAGTCACCCCTTTTACATCAACAGGGACAAATTCTGGCCCTCTATTTTTGAAGTACTGGTGGAGTATGAGGGAGTAGCAAAGCTACAACCCTTCCCCCCCCGCCACCCACCCACCCTCCTGAGAGCAGAATGGCAAGGAATGAAAATAGGAGACTGTAGATGAAGGACAGAAAGCCCAAAAGCATGGAGAATCTGAGACATGGGATGATAGTGTAAGAAGACTAAGAAGAGGGAAAGTGATTTATAGAGCAGGGGCAGAATGGGAGGACTGGGAAAGGAGAAACCAGCCTGGAGAGGGATAGGATCAGAATAGCGGTTCCTTGAATAGATGCTGTTTTTGTCTCGTTGGAAAGGCTACAGCTATGAACGACTGGATGGATCCGTCCGAGGGGAAGAGAGGCACCTCGCCATTAAGAATTTTGGCCAGCAGCCCATTTTTATTTTCCTACTGAGCACCAGGGCAGGTAAGGCAACTGTGGGAGAGACAAAACTGGAGCTATAAACAGTCCATTCCACGATCTCCTGCCCTTTTGCTGTCTTCTAGTATCGACTGGACTCGGGGGAGATCTGAATTCTTTAGAGAATCCCAGTTTTAATATTCAAATAAGACTCCATAAAGGGAAGGAAACAAAGCTTTTAAAGAACATCAGTCAAAAAGAGTTTAGTCGGTGATAGAATCTATATGGAGATGTTTTAATTACAGTTTTCAATGATGTGTTTGAATATTCAGCAGCTCTTTTATGTTCAGGCTGAGAGACAAGTTCATGCTCCTGTTTCAGCAGCTGAGGCACACCGTTTACAGTGCACTCTATTGAGTGACTTATTTATAATAAGCACTGCATAGTGGGATCTAAATGAGGTGTTAACCACTTGAGAGAGAGCTCTTGGAGTTATTGTGGATAGTTCTCTGAAAACATCCTCTCCGTGTGCAGTGGCAAGCAAAAAAGCAAATGGATAGATCAGACAACTGAAAGGGGTACAGTAGGCTGGAAAAGCTGAGGAAAAAACACTTGTTTAAAAGATGGAGAGTGGTCAGCTTTGAAGAGATGCCTGAGGGGGAATGTGATAGAGGCCTAGAACATGGATGCTGTGGAAAAAGTGAATAAGAAAGTGTTGTTTACTCCTTCATATAATACAAGAAGCAGAGGTCACCAAATGAAATGAATAGGCAGCAGGTTTAAAACAGACACAATTATATTCTTCACACAGCCCTCAGTCAGCCTATGGAATTCGTTCTCGTGGGATCTTTTGAAGGCCAAAAGTATAACTGTATTAAAAAAAGAATTAGATAAATTCCTGGAGGATGGGTCCATCAGTGCCTATTAGCTGAGATGGGCGGGGGCACAGCCCCATGCTCTGAGTATCCCTATCCTCTGCCTGTCAGAAGCGGGGACTGGACAACAGGGGATAGATCGTTCGATTGCCCTGTTTGAAGCACCTGGCATTGCCCACTGTTGGAAGACTGAGGGCTAGAGGGACCGTTGGCCTGACCCAGCATTGCTATTCTTACGCTCTATAATGCCTGCCCCTGTAGCAGCTTCAGCTTGGGGATGACACGGACATTAATTTGTGCAAATACCGCCCTTTTGCAAGTAACAGCCTTCATTTAAGTAAAGAACAGGAACCTTCCTTTCTCCACCACAATAAAGGCTGCAAAGTGCATTGGCCCCCCTTCCCCGAGCTTATTGGTTGAATCTGCCCTATGCCCACTGCCCAGCTCCAGACCCACCCTCTACCATGACTCTTCTTTCACTCCCACCATCCACGTAAGCTTCCTCACTCTTGCCTTTCTCCCATGCCTGGACTGTCCCAGACAGCGTAGAATCATAGAACACTAGAACTGGAAGGGACCTCAAGAAATCATCAAGTCCAGTCCCCTGCCTTCATGGCAGGACCAAGAACTATCTAGATCATCCCTGATAGGTGTCTGTCTAACCTGCTCTTAAATATCTCCAGTGATGGAGATTCCACAACCTCCCCAAGTAATTTATTCCAGTGTTTAACCACCCTGACAGGAAGTTTTTCCTAATATCTAACTTAAACCTCCCTTGCTACAATATAAGCCCATTGCTTCTTGTGCTATCCTCAGAGGCCAAGGAGAACAATTTTTCTCTCTCTCCTGTTTGTAGCACCCTTTTAGATACTTGAAAACCGCTATCATGTCCCCTCTCAATCTTCCCTTTTCCAAACTAAACAAGCCCAATTATTTCAGTTTTCCCTCAGGTCATGTTCTCAAGACCTTTAGTTATTTTTGTTGCTCATCTCTGGAACTTCTCCAATTTCTCCACATCTTTCTTGAAATGTGGTGCCCAGAACTGGACACAATACTCCAATTGAGGCCTAATATGACAAAGGTTCAAACCAACTGAAGGCCTACCACTGTATCTGGCCCAACGTGAAGACAATGTATTCATCTCCACCCCATCTCAGATACCAGTACAGAAGTTCAGGGGTGTGGTTATCTCAGCATTTGCAGAGAGGGTAGAGATGCCAGGAAGAAAGGTGCGTTTCATGGTTGAGGGCAAATGTTCATCAGTATGTGCCCTAAACCTTTATTTCTGTTTAATATGTCCTTTCAGCCCATGGGAGCTGGCACTTCAGTAACTAGTGACAGTTTTAGTTTGGATTAGAACCTGGACTGTCCGCCATCCTTGGGCTTGTATGATTGTATTTGACATTTCTGTTTCTATGTCAGTAATATCTGTCCATACTTAGGGAGATTCCGTGTGTTGACATGAGGCAGCCCAGTTGCTTTTGTTTTAAACCTGCCAACAAAAGAGCATCATACAGTAGTCTCTGTCCAACAGCCTCAACAAACAATGCCCTTAAGTCCTAATTGCTTTTTAGACCAATAGACCACACATCTTTTATGATGCCTGGTGGAAAGCTGGAAGCATAGAAGTGTGAGAAAATGAAATTCAGAAGCTTTAACCAAACTTTTCTGAGCCTCATAAGTGAGTTCGAGTGCTGGAGCAAAGTTGGGTTCTTTTTCATGTTATCTGATGGATCCACCCTTTTGTAGCCTAACCGCCTATTTCATGAGCCAGAAATGTGTTACTGACCATCCCTTTTTTGTTTAAAACTTGTTTTTAGGTGGAGTCGGCATGAATCTAACTGCAGCAGATACAGTCATTTTTGTTGATAGCGATTTTAACCCACAAAATGACTTGCAAGCCACCGCGAGAGCTCACAGGATTGGCCAGAACAAGTGAGAAATAGGAACAGAACTGCTTGTTGTGGTGTTTTTTGTATTTGGTTGCTCACTATCTTATTATCAAGGCCTCCCCATTCCTCCCCCAGTTCTGCCAGTGGAGGAGAGCTAAGCAGAGCAATTTGGGTCCTCAACATAGTCCTACCTCTTCCTTCCCCTGATCCCATGCAATCCTGTGCTCCCCAGGTGTCCAGAATGTGGAACGCTGCTCTCTGCTGTGTCCCCTCTTCCTCTCGATCATGGCAATTGGGTCAACATCACCTTTTGCGGTTCTACCTGTGCTTACTTTTACCTAACTGGGCCACTGGGCTGGGTCAGGACCGATTGCAGAGTTTGGCCCATTATTCAGGGAAACTGTTGTAATTCAATATAAATGACTAAACTGACTCTCTTACATTTTGCAAGGCCTGTAAAAATCATCCGCTTCATTGGACGGGACACCGTCGAAGAAATAATCTACCGCCGAGCTGCGTCGAAGCTCCAGCTTACGAACGCCATTATTGAAGGGGGGCAGTTTGCTCTCGGAGCACCCACATCCCAGGAAGCAGCAGACGTGCAGGTAAGAGAATAATTGAGTATGGCTTTAACAGCATCAACCCTTAGCTACGGAGGAGGGCCCCGTTCTGTGTGTGTATTCAGGTTGAGTCTGATCCAAATGCCATTGTCATTGGAGGGGAATGGGAAAGAACGTGGTATCTGATTGCATCACTTTTTATGGAGCAAGCCAAAATCCCAGAAGCAAACACCACTGAAATTTGGGGACAATTGGATGTTAATTATGAGACTCGAGCACTGTCTAAGACTTTTTTTCTGGGGAGATTTCCTTTGTTTTTTGACTGTTACAGATATTTTCATGAAAATGGCATTGTTGCTTCTAGGATCGCATAGGGTTTTCTTACGGAACTGTGCTCTCAGCATCATGCTAGCTTTTGGTTGGTAACTCACAAGTTGTCCTGGGCTTGACAAATGTTCCGACAAAACTTACGCTGAGCTCTTATCATCTCGGGTTCCAGGGAGGGATTTGTGATTAGGCAAAGCTGAATTTTGCTTTGAGATTTATGTCTCTTAAGCTGCACAGTGTTAATGCCAGAAGGGACTGCAAGCTCATGTAATCAGACTCCAAATGCAGTGAAATGTAGGAGGACAGGAGACCCATGGAAAGTGAAACACTGAGAAACTATCACGCAGCCCTTTCCCTTCTCTAGTCCCCCTGTCCCATAAACTTACCCGAGCTATGATGGCTTCCAGCTTGAGAAATTAAACTGAGCCTGTGCGTGGTGATATGCCGTGCTGGTGCTTTTTCCCCTTGGGTTTCTACAGACATTTAAGCGCTCATGTAAAAGGAAAATGTTCCTGGCCTTTCTGATTGTAAAGATAATTTCTTGACTGTGACTCAATGCAGTGGCATCTGCATGGTGTCTGAGTAACTGTGAAGCTACTAATGACCCATGGCTGGCACGGTAAATATTGCTGAGCATGATTTGCTCTGTGGGTCTGTCTAGAGAAGTGTACAAAACCGATGAGGGCAGAATGAGAGAATAACAGCTGTCGCAGCATGAGTGTTTTGCAGGGTGACATGAAGTGCCTGATTCCCCTCTTCACATATACTTTCATTTAAATCTTGAGGCATAATAGGTTAGTGGTAGCATAAGATATGACGATGTGCAGCTTCATCCTTTTGTTTGTTCAAGCTGAGTGAAATCCTGAAGTTTGGTTTGGATAAGCTGCTCTCCTCTGAAGAGAGCACCATCCAAGATGTGGACCTGGAAAATATCCTTGGAGAGACAAAAGAAGGAGTGTGGGTAATGGATGCTGTGCTACCAAGTGAAGAGGAAAGCAGAGTGCGAGATACAGAAAGTAAGTGTGAGAATCCTATCTACACACAAAAGACACTCAAAGCTGCATGCTATTAGAGATTTCCAGGGGTTATATGGTGGGATTTTTTTTTCAGATTAACTTTAGAAGGAAGAAAGATGTGTTTGTGGTTAGACTAGAGGACCTGAAATCAGGAAACATAGGTTTTATTCCTGGCTCTGCCGCGGACTTGATTTGTGACTGTTGAACACACCCTTCCTCTTATGTCTCAGTTTCCCCATCTGTAAAACGGGGGAAATAATTCTGATTTGCTCACAGGGGGCTGTGGGGCTAAATTCATTAATGTCTGGAAAATTCTTTGATACCCTTGGATGTAAGACTCTAGGGAAGAGTCAAGTATTGTATCTGACTTTATTCATAGAGAAAGATCTGTCTTAAGATGGAGTTAAAGTTGTGAGTTCATATCAGTAACTTACGAGTAAAAACATCATAGGGATGTTGTAATTATCCCAAAACCAAGTGCTACAAACCCTGGAATGTCAGAGGTAAGGGTACACTTTAAAAAAAACCCCAAACATTAGAGAAGGAAAT